AAATAAGCATTAGGCTTTGGTCACATTGTGTTATTCAGTGAGCTTTACAGCTAGATTTTCTGTTATTTACATTTAAACTAGGAAATAAGCATGGATTAAAGTTCTGGTCCACCATGCGAGCTACCCCCTTAACGTGGTGGAGTTGTTTGAGTGCCCGAATAATCCTAGGAGCTATATTGTCCAGGGCTTTGCCGGTGCTATGCCCATGGTAGGGTCTCCCATAGCAAAAAGATCCTGGGTGACTAAGGATCAGACTAAGAGCAGCTCAGAAGACCCTTATGGAAAGAGTAAAATCAAGTACTTTGATGTCGCCCGGTATTGCACAGCCAGGGCCCCACCCTGGAGCCAGGCCTGGGGTTGGGGCTCGCATGTGAGCGTCTGGTTTCCGGGCCTTTGCCCACTGGGCACGGCCGGGACCAGCCCCAACGGATGACATTCACCCATCTTTCTGCAGATCCAACATCCGCAGAGGGATCCATAGGGGTTGGGTGCTGGACTTGGTGAGGGTTGGGGCTGGGGGTGCCTCATAGGCTTGGTCAGCACAGGCAGCTTCTAGCTGTAGGGACGCAGAACATCACCTCGCTGGGGGAGAGAGCCTGAGCTTGTGTGGGAAGTTGAGCGGCACTGGCTGGAGATAGTCGGGCTCACCTCTACGCACAGCTTGGGTTTCGGATCCCATCCCCAGAAGTGAGGCTGGACGCTACACTTTTATGGCATTGCCCGCAAGGAGAGGTGTCAGGCTTGGGTGGTATTACACTTTGCCCCCCCATCTCAGTCATCATGTGTTGGAAGTTCACCCCCGAGAAGGAGAGGGTTGCATCCCTATGCCTTCGGGTTGGGGACAGGTCTCTCACCATTGTCTGGGCCTATGGGCCCAACATCAGTGCAGAGTACCCGACCTTCTTTGAGTGCTTGGAAGGGGTATTAGATGGTGCTCCCACTGGGGAGTCCATTGTTCTACTGGGGGTCTTCAACACCCACGTGGGCAGCAACAGTAAGACCTGGTCAGGGGTGATCGGTAGCAACCCCCTCTCCAGTCTGAACCAGAGCAGTGTTCTGTTATTGGACTTCTGTGCTTATCACAGTTTGTCCGTTACGAATACCATCTTCGAACACAAGGGTCTCCATAAGTGCATGTGGCACCAGGACACCCTAGGCCAAAGGACTTTGTAGTTATGTCATCTGATCTCCAGGTGCGTGTCTCAGACACTCGGGTGAAGAGAGGAGCTGAGCTTTCAACCGATCACCACCTGGGGATGGTGAGCTGGATCCGCTGGCAGGGGAGGAAGCTGGTCAGACCTGTCAAGCCTAAGCGTGCTGTGAGGGTCTGTTGGGAACATCTGGTGGATCCCTCTGTTAATGCAGTCTCTAACTTCCACCTCCAGATGAGTTTCTCCCAGATCCCAAGGAAGGTTGAAGACATGGAGTCAGAATGATCGATGTTCTCTTCCTCCATTGCCGATGCGGCCATTCTTAGCTGTGGCTGTAAGGTCTCTGGCGCCTGTCACAGTGGCAATCTCCGAACCTGGTGGTGGTGCCCTGAAGTAAGTGATGCCGTCAAGCAGAAGAAGGAGGCCTACCTTGTTAGCTAGTGGGACTCCGGAGTCAGTTGAGAGGTACCTGCAGGTCAATCATGCTATGGCCCGTGCAGTCGCAGAGTCAAAATCTCAGGTCTGGGGGGAGTTCAGAGAGGCCATGTAGGAGAATGATCCGTCGGCCTCAAAAGTGTTCTGGCAATGCAGGTGGTGAGATGGTGACCTAGACTGGTGATGTCGCTGGGCAACCTCGGATCCAGGAGGAACAATATGGTTTTCGTCCCGGTCGTGGCACAATGTACCCAAGATGATGATCACCGCCTCCAAATCCGAGGCCATGGTTGTCCACCGGAGACAGGTGGTCTCCCCTCTTCAGGTTGGTGGAGAGTCCTTTTCTCAAGTGGAGGAGTTCAAGTATCTTGGGGTCTTGTTCATGAGTGAGGTACGGATGAAGCATGAGTTTGATTGGTGGATCGTGCGGCGTCAGCAGAGATGCGGTCGCTTTATCGGACTATCGTGGTGAAGAGGGAGCTGAGTTGGGGAGCAAAGCTATGGTCATGAGATCTGGGTAATGACCAGAAGTACAAGATCGCTAATACAAGCGGAAATCAGTTTCCTTCGCAGAGTGGCTGGGCGCACCCTTCGAGATCAGGTGAGGAGCTCAGTTACCCAGGAGCTGCTCGGAGTATAGTCGTTGCTCCTCCACGCCGAAAGCAGCTAGCTGAGATGCTTGGACATCTGTTCCAGAAGCCTCCTGGTCGCCTCCCTCAGAGGTGTTCCAGGTGCGTCCCATTCGGAGGACGCCCAGTGGAAGGCCCAGGACACGCTGGATGGACTATGTCTGTGAGCTGGCCTGGGGTCGCATCTGGGTTCCCCCAGAGCAGCTGGAGGAGGTGTGTGTGGATCTGGCATCTCTGCTTAGACTGCTGCCTCCGGAACCTGGCCCAGGATAAAGCCGAAGAAAAGGGATGGATGGATGGATGGATGGACGGACGGACGGACGGACGGACGGATGGATGAAGTTACCAAACACAGATTGCAAGAATTTTGGCCAATTTTGACAGAAATGGTACTAAAAGATTAGTTAGATTTGAAGGCCAGCTTGATTGCAGTTACTTTAGCTCCACTCAGGATTTCTATTAAATCATAAGATCGGGGCTTTATAACTGTTGTTACAAAACATTATCTTAAGTGTCATTGAGGGTCTTTGTTACTTAACTGGCTGAATGCTTGCATTAGTTCTCCATATAGAGAAGTCATTTGTGGCCAGGCTCTAACATACTGTGAGCTGAAATGTTGCTTTAATATTTCTGCATAATTTACTTGTGGCTTTGGTGCATTTTCAGAGGCAATCTGCCTCTCCTTGATCTTCCTTTTAGAGTAATTGCCTATTTTCTGCTGTGTGGCCATTATAGCCACATTACTACTGGATATGTTTCACTGCAAATAATAATGAACCCCAAGAAATGAAGATGAAGAAGACAAGAAAATGAAAACCAAGATGTGTGGTACTCCAAAGTTCTCTGCAATAAATATTGAATGATTTAAATTTCCAGAGATCTTGCATTATAATACATTCACACCCATGCTACTGTTTAGGTCAAGTGTGGTAAACTAACCAGTCAGTGCCTTACAAAACCATGACATCCTCTTTACTTTGTTCAACAAGTGGAAAGTAACATCAGCTTACGTAAACTGTTCAATACAAAGAAAAATACCAATATTTTCAATATTCAAACAAACATAAAAAAGAAGAGGAAGAAGAAAGAAAGCATGAAGTCTTATTTAATGTAAGACAGTAGGATAAACTCATAGTTATGGATCTTTTTATACCACATATGTCATTCACACTATAACCAGAGGTGCAAGTTAAATACCTCCTTACTGCGTTCTTTGCTGCTGAATGCAAAGAACGCAGAGAGCACTGAGTGAATGAATGCAATGTACTTTTCACAAGTTGGATTCTGGATTTAAAAAAAAAAAAACTGGGCTAAGATAAAATGCATTTTATGTCAGTCCCATGGAGACATTTTGACAAGATTGTTGAAAAACAATTTCTGCTGAATTGTCTTTTCCGTTAATGTGTGTGGTTTTGAGCACTGGATAAAAGCCTGGCAGTTTTGTGGCCTGTCAAATATTTAGATATAGCAATCCCGAGTTAGTGCTCAAAGTGCTGTTACTAAACTTTTGTGTTTAAGATGATGAAAGTAGGACACAGAATAAGAAGACGAGGAGCATCTGTGACTTTACCAAGGTGGGCTTGTCTCTTTTTAAACTGTAATTTCAACAAAACTCTGTTATCACCCATTACCAATGCAGTTAAAAGATGTTTCTAGAGTTATAACGAGCCCAATTTATGTACGCCTGATGCTACCAAAGAGGATTAGTATGATGTCACATTTAAAACGCCCGTGAGCAAAATAAACATACTCGCATTTATGTTATACATATAGATTATGCACAATAGCTGCACTATTCAAATTAGCCAAGTTTAACTTTGTTTTTAAGGTAATTTCGTTGGCTAGAGAGCCAAACATTGTGTGTGGACTTAACCAGTAGCAGCAAGACAATTTTGTTTAAAGAAGGTAAGGAAAACAAAGATACCCAACATGGATTCGAAATGTTTGTGGAAACTAGGGTAATTAGCGAGACATTATCTATAAGGATCTGATGGTTAAAAAAAATGACTTTATGTGCTGATTTTCTCATCATGTAATGATTTTATTACAAATATGCTGGATTACTTCTTATCTGTAGACCCTTACGGACAAATGGAATATGAACAATCTAAGATTGGATCTATGATACGGCCTGAGGAACGCTTCAGATGTAAGAAGTCGGTAAGAATTTAACCAGTGTTATTTTCATGTGTACTGGTAATTTTGATTTAAATATACAAAACGGTGCGCTGGAGAACTGCTGCTTTAATTAAATGAATTCCCCCAGTGGCAGATAAGGGATTCGGTTTTAAAGTTTAGAGGAAACCACTTTTAGCAGCTGATCTGCACAGGGATATTAACTGTTTGAAAGGTCAAAAACTGTTCAGTTCTCATAAACAGAGTAATACGGCTATGACGTGGACCCAGATGGGGCGGTGGGGTCTTTGCTTTTAAGGCAAGTGTTTTTGTTCCAATTTGGGAGAAAATAAATTAATACTTTGCAGAACCAAAGGCATTCATTCCTCATATTTATGCCTGTAAGTGTAGTTATGCTTTTAGAAGACCTTGTTGACCTCAATATAAACCAAGATGTTCTCTTAAGGCTTTTGTGCGGTCTAAGCACCTAAAACATCATACATACATACAGGGAAAGAAAGAAGGCACAGAGACAATTAATTTAGTTACTCGCGAGGAGAGTAGGAAGAGACTGCAGAGTTTACGAATCTCCATCCCACTCTGCAGTCTTCAGCTTTCTCCTTGCCATTTATTTAAGAAAAGGGGATGTCCCTAATTACACCAGCTGAGGTTTAACTAAAGGGAAAGGGAAACAAAATGATCTTACTTTAAACCTCAGCACATATGTTAAAACAAAGCATGTGGTTGTTTTACAATTGAATTGTTCCAAGAACACATGTTTAGAAGAAACATTTGATTGAGGATGTTCAGGCCTCTTTCACAACCCATCCGTTGCATGACATTTATCTGGAACAATCTTAAGCAAGAGTTAATAAGAGATGAATCACACATTATACATCATAATAGTTCATTAGAACACAACCCAACTATTAGAACAAAACACAAACGGAGTATAAATAAAATATTTCTAACAGCTTTAAAGGTTTATTACATTACACACAAAAAAGAAATAGTAAAAAATACATAAAATTTATCAAACAGACTCCCCAGAAGTACAGTTAAAGGATTTCAAGTGAAATACTTTTTTTGCCCCACTTGTATATCCAGTAAAGAAAAAAAATGGTATTAGCTTATTATTCTATAAGAAATAAAACAATAAATACATGCCAAAGAAATTTTTAGAGCACTATATTTTACATATAGAAATATCATATAAAATAACAATGACAAAAAAAAAACATTGTTGGTTATACTCTAAGGCACAGAAAATAGTCAGGGAGACAACACCTAACATAGGCATAATACTGTGTTTGCATTAGCAGAAAATATCAGTTGAAGCTGGTTGTCATAATTTTCTGAGTGGAAGGATCTCGGACTGAGGAGTTCATTTCCGATCGAGACTTGCACGACAAAGCCACAGCCCACAGGAACATAAACACACCTGAAAAAACAATTGATTTTTTTAGCTAAACCAACATATATCAATGTATACCGATATTTAAACACATATACTGACCTTGCAGAGAGTTAAAGATGGTGAAAATGTAGATTCCAGATAAAGTAGCATAAGTGAGGCTGGCCAATCCCCATGGTAACCCAAGGACCCAGCTAAGGCCCAGAACTGTGGTACCATCCTTCCATAACCTGGACCATTTGTTGCTGTTCGTCTTCTTCCAGTCGCTGCATTCATAGTCCTTTTGTCCACCTCTTATCTTCCAAACTTTAAGCACCACCACCAGCAGCATGCAGGTATTATACAGCACAGTCAGGCAAAGAAAAGCCAGAGTGATGTACGAGACTACATGTCTCTGTTGGAACTCGCTGCTCATCCAGCATCTGCTCAGTGAGAATTAACAAAACATTGAAACTGGGGTCATCGGGGTGTTTCAGTGAATCTTGGTTGCACATGTAAACTGTGGTAGTTTCTTACATTTGTGATGGTGATGTGTTGTTATTGGAATCCCTTATTTCCAGAGTGTATCTGCCATAAACACCTAAACTCCCACAAATCACTGCAACAAGTGTAGGAAAGCCTGAGGAGACAGCAAGAGAAAGATCAAAACTCAGCTACATTAGTAAAATCAAAGTTAATCGGATTTAACTTCACTCCTAAACTCACCCCATCCCACTATGGAGAGCTTTAGCAGGTATCTACTGACATAGATGTTAAAGACTCTAATGAGGAGGAGATAAAGGTGGAATCCTTCCAGGGCAATCCAGGTAAACGTAGCCAGCAGAGACCAGTGCAAGAAGAAACCCAGACCTCGACAAACCCAGCCGCCCTGATCCTCTTTAAGCAGATAAATCCAGAAACTTGAACTCAGGAAGCCGAGGTGGAGGCAAAGCAATGCCCCAGTCAGCTGCATGTGGATGCCGAGGGCCTTCTCGGGCCTCCGCCGACTGCAGGAAAAAAGCCAGCAATGCATTATTAGTTTTCTGAAAATTGGAGTATTGTGGTGTAGAGCCACCTCAAGCAATCTATCAGTGATCAATCTGCTAATTACTGAACTGAAGCAGTTTGTTAATGTGGCATCTTAGGTTAATGAAAATCTTCTTTTAACTTGAGAGAAGCTGAAGGCCGCATGTCTTTGACGCGGGTGAAGTGAGGGACAGAGCTGCCCAGCAATCACTACCTGGGGGTGAGTTGGATACCCTAAAATAGGAGGAAGCCAGAAAGACTTGGTAGTCTCAAGCGAGTAGTGAGGGTGTGCTGGGAATATCTGGCAGAGCCCTTGGTCAGGGAAGTGTCCAACTCCCTCCTCTGAGAGAGTTTCTCCCAAATTCTGGGGGGAGGCTGGAGGCTCAAGTCACAACAACACGAGTACGGACTCACACTTCTCAGCCCTCCCAGGAGGGCCTATGCCTGGGTGCTGGAGAGAAGTCTGGCTGATTGTCGAACCTCAGTTCTCTCCTCATGAGTAAGGAAAGAATGGAATGGGAGTATGCTGATGAAGGTTCTCAGTCATCCAGGTCATAGTCATTCCGTAAAAATTAAAAAAAAATATCCACTGGACTTGGTTTCCAAAATTTGAAGACGTTTCGCCACCTCTCCAGGAAGCTTTCTCAATTGAAATGTCTCAACATATTCTCATTATCAGTTCGTATGAAATCGTACGAAAAGTTATGCACACTATTTCGTATGTTTTGGACGTTTTTCCTCAAAAAACCCGATCAGTGCGCAATGCGCATGCGCTGGCAGACAGAAGAAAAAAAAGCAGATCCGCGGACGGACGTAAAACTGGGAAAAACAGTGCAATAATCACTTCTTCATGTCTCTAACTACGTTGCTTGCTGTTTTATATCTTAGGGTTAGGGTCAGGGTTAGGGCTAATTGTTTTTTAAATTCTATGTTCTTGAATGGTGCTTAAGATGCACATGCGCAGACGATGAAAAAAACGTCCAAAACTCACGAAATTACGGTGCATAACGTTTCGTACGATTTCATACGAACTCATAATGAGAATACACTGAATGTCTGGATCCGCAGTGAGTATAAGACTCAAACTCACTGCGGATCCAGACATTTGAAACGTCTTCAAATCTTGGAAACCAAGTCCAGTGGATATTTTTTGAATTTTTACGAAATGGAATGGGAGATTGATAGATGGTGGGGATTCTGCTATAATGTGGACGCTGCACTGTATCATGCGGTTAAGAAGCTGAGCAAAAAGGCAAAGCTCTCGATTTACTGCATGGTCTACGTTCCTACCCTCAGCTATGGTCATCTTATCTGAATCATGACCAAAAGACTGAGATACAAGTGGCTGAAACGAGCTTTCCCCGCGGAGTTTAGCACAACTGCTGAGCGGGGTTACATTTGATATCATTCCGGTCATTTCTTTAGCGATGGGGGGAGGAGCTTCGTTATTGTGTAGAGGCTCAGAGTAGAGCCCCTTCTCCACATTGAGAGGAGTTCGCTCAGGTGGCTTGGACATCTTTTTTTTTAATGCCCCATGGATCTTTTCCTTAGGATCTCACCGGGTGGGGGTCCAGTGGACAACCCAGGACATGTTGGAGGAACTATGTCTCTTGGCTGGCCTGAGAGCGCCACCAATGTCTGGGGAGAGGCTGCTGAGACTGCTGCACCCACAACCCAGACCCAGATGAAGCAGAAGAAGACGAGTACGAGAGCAAGGCTACAGCTAAAGCCTAATCCAAAGGGGATCACGTTTTTTTAAATGGTACCTTATGAGCCCTTCCCACTGTTACGTTGATGGGGCTTGGCTACCTTATCATTTTTGTTTACACACAGAAAATGGAGATAAGAGGTGTTAAACTACAAATGAACTTTCAGGGAAACAGGTTTTGAGAACAGGATGTATTACATAAGAGTAGCCTGATAGAAAAAGAGATCAAAGTTGACCTTATTTTTCTGCATTTTTACACTTTCACTCATCAGTCAGAAAGATTTCTTTAAAGTTTTACATGTTCTGTCCTCAAATTGTGTTAAACACTCAATGCAAATCCAGAAACTGCTTTAAAATTTACAAATGCATAAAATTTTTCTTAAAAACAATATGATTCCTAAATACTCTTCTTACAATTAGAACTTTGTGTCTTAGAGCTTTGGTAAAAATAAAGCATTGTGAAGACCAAAGATAAACCTAACTCTCACACTTCAACATATTTGTGAAGTTTGAAAGTATGATTTTCAATAAATTACCAAATCTAAATAAATGTATTTATTCCTACATGAGCAATAAACATGGAGTCTAATTTAAAGTAGGACAACTTACTGCAGATGAACATAGATGAACAGGCTGCCGAATGCAAAGAAGGCAGAGAGCGCTGAGCCGACGTAGGTGATGTAACTGAGGGTCTTGGCGCTGCTTTCATCCACCTTTAAGTTTGGATTCTGGACAGGAAAAAAAAAATAGGGCTTAGTTGAAATGCAAACTACACCAGTCCTTTGGAGATGTTTCATCAATGTCATTTGTTCTGCCTTTTATCTCCTAGACTCTAAGCTAATTACAAGTCATTGTCATAAAGGCGATCAGTGTGTAAAAATAAGAAAAGATTGACTTATTAAATAATGTTTGTTGGGAATGGTGACATTCATTCTCATTTTTTTCCCATTAGCATGTGTGATTTTAGCCCCTGCATAAAAGCCTGGCAGCTTAGTGTCCTTTAAAATATTCAAAAAAGGGAGCATAATGTTAGAGGTAAAAAAAACTGTGTTATTAAGCTTATTTGTAAGATAAAGACAGTAAGACAGATAGAATGTCAAGAAGATTAGCATTCATAACTAACAATGTGGCTTTACCTCTTTTTGTGATGTTTTCCATCCTAACCTTCGGTACTACAGGTTAATATGGGAATTTCTGTGTTTCGCAATAATTGGGCCAACTCTCTGTCTTTGAGGACACTTGCAGGAAGCGCATTTAGAGGAAGGCAAGACCTTTGTTGCATTTTGTCGCTGACTCTTTAGCAATCCCTCACACCGAGCACGCATGTTGCGACATTGGAGAAGAAAAAACTCCCTTTTAACGGTAATAAACTTCCAGCAGAACCAGGGTCAGTGAGAGCGACCCTCTGGGGTTCAAGGAGATAGAAGCAGATAAACAAAGGTAACTGTTAACTAGCTCAGGCAGACGAGCTCCAAGCAGCTTTTGCTAGTCATAGAAAAAGAAACAACATTACCCTGGAAACAGGCCAAGCTCTAATATATATACAGAGATGTCAATATCAGCAGCACAGCTGATGTTTAAATCCAGGATGAGTTAAGAGCCAAACAGGGTCAGACCAGATGAAGCTATTATGATGAGAAAAAGCAGAGAGAGCAAAAAGTAATGAGTAAAACTTGACAAATACCACAGAATGGGAGAATAGGGATTTAAGAATTAAGCAGGATCCACATAGGGAAAGTGGTCCCTATGTGATTCAGCAGCCTAATGTTATAGCAGCCCAAATAGAGAAATAGCTCAGAAGAAGTCAACTTAGATGAGTTATAGAAAAGGTAGAGGTACAATAGAGCCAAAGCAGACCCAACCAGAACAACCAGGTTCAAGACAAACTTTTCTTCAGCTGAGGTCTTGCACCTGGATTTAGCCGCTTGATTATCTCCCCAAGAACTCATACAGATGTAAACAGGTTGCCCCCATCACCGACTGCTTCTACAGTTACACTTCTGGGTAGTTAGTTCTCCAGTTTACTTCCACTGCCCAAAATATGACTGTCAGGTTAACTGGCTTCCATAAATTGTCCTGTTTGTGTTCCTGGTTGTATGTCACTGTTTGTCTATTTGTTGCCTTAAGCCTGGCAACCTGTCCAGGTTGTACCCCACTGTTTGCCCAATGACTATCGGCCCCACTGCTGCCTGGCGGATGAAGCGAGAGAAGATGGATGGATGAGGTGTTGTCTTTTTACAGCTATTTCCTCAACAAAAACTCAAACTTCAACATATTTGCAGATTGTTTGACAGACTGTCACTAACAGGGTGCTTTTATAAATCCCATGCATGTAACTCGATCTAGAAGTCAGCTATTAAGTAAACCCCCGAAGGATGTTAAATTAAATATCAGCTGACATGTGAAGCAGTTAACATCAGTTAAAAAAACAGTTTTAGGGGAAACTACAAAGCTATATAAAATGTTGCTGTACCATACCTAAATAGACAGACCGGGTATTGAAAGTGTTAATCAGAGAATCAGCCAATTAAAAAGATTTGTAAATAAACACTTTCCTTCAATTTTACAGTTGTGCCTTACTTTATAAACAATGACTGAATATTAAAGTTTAGATCACCGTATGTACGTAAAAACATATTTTGGTTCCTTCTCCCTCTGTTTTGCATAGAAATCCAATGCTTAGTTTGGATGATGGTTTGATTTGTGTTGGGATCTGGAGGTCTGTCCACTTTCTCCAACCAGAGGGCGTACGAGATCTCCTGGAGTCGGAGCTGATTGCACCACCTGTCGCTCATCTGCCCATCAGGAGATCCGTATTTAAGGAGGCAGAGGACTTCTCTCCGGTGCCAGAGTGTTTGCCAGTAACGGTTAGCAAGCCTGAGCCTACCAGCCTGTCTGAACCTCTGACTCCCTGAAAACCTGAACCTGATCTGTTTTCTCCTCTCTGCTTCCTAGATTGAACCTGCCTGAAACCTGAAACCCTGAAGACGTTCTCTGCCGGTGATCTGCCTGTCCGTTCTCAGAAGAACTCTGGAGGATTATTCCTGTCAAAGATCTGCCTGCCCGCTCTCAGAAGACTCTGGGAAGAAACCCCAATCTGTGATCTGCCAGCACTCAAACTAAGCTCTGCCTCCGCCTAGCCCTCAGCCTGCCGACAGCCTCTGGACCCTCAAGGTTCCCCCCCTCAGTCCCTCTGCTCAACTCCAGAACAGGTACAGCCCTGCACGCTCTCATCCTGCAAAATACCTGGACCTCCGCTAACTCCTCTGTCCCCCTCTGCAGTGAACCCACTCGTGACCCGTCCTGGATCTGATTATTCAGTGTGCTTTTCAGAACCCACTCTTGACCAAACAAGTTTCCCTTTGGATCTGTTCATTTATTGTGTTGAAACTCATCAATAAATCTTTGAACTTTTCTCCTGCCTCTGAGTGTTCTGCATGTGGGTTAGACACCTTAAACCAAACATGACAATTTGAAACAAAAAACTAATTTACCACGAGCACCGCAAAAAAGCTGAGATGGTTACAACTGCAAATAAACTCCTCATCAGTTTTGGTGGTTTCACACCCCTCAGTACTCCATTTCCCTGAAAGAAAATCAAACAAACATAAATCCTGAGCTGATGTCTTGCTTTAGACGTAGAAGAGTTGTTTTCACATCACACACCTGCTTCATCCATATGATCTGACTCCTTCCAAAACACACACCTCCCACTTTTCTCCTGAAACAAAGGAAGGGGATTAAACAGAAGGAAAGCGTTTTCTGTACAGCATTTTTTTTTTAAATCATATTTATTTTGTTACCCCTATGTCGTGTTTGAAGAATAACTGGACAGGTTCTGTAAGGTTGCTGACTGGCTGAGTTCCAGCCTTCAAAAACAGGACAAGCTCCCCTAAAACTGTTTCCTGCATGCTGACAGGCTGCTGGGGAATCAGGCCCCTTCCTCTGCTCCGAGGTTTTTGCTGTAAAACAGTACAAATATCTCAGTTGCCTACTAAAAGAACACAATTTTAAATTAAATGCAAATTAGCACAAAGAATGGAACAGTATATTGAATTTAAGGTATAAATTGGAAGATCATACAACTCTGTGAAGTCCGTAACACTTGATAGTTTAGAATAGGCATCCCCAAACTCGGTCCTCAAGGCCCCCTGTCCTGCAGGTTTTAGAGGTTTCCCAGCTTTAGCACAGCTGATTATAATGATTGCAGTAGACCAAAAGCCTGTTAATCAGCTTTCAATTAAAATCAGCTGTGCTGGAGCAAAGAAACCTCTAAAACCTGCAGGACAGAGGGCCTTCAGGACCGAGTTTGGGAATGCATGGTTTAGAGGATCCCACCTGAAAGAAACTGCTGCTGATCACAGAGGCAACCAGCACGACATCATTCTGTGACCCTGATCTTCTGCTTCTCCGAAGAGCCGAGGAGGGAATTCGGACCCTGTGATTGAATGTAGGGCCGGCTTCAACCTTAAAACCAGAATCACAAACAAGAAAATATATTAGCTTTTTTTATAAAACCAATTATGTTAAAGAATACTCCCTGTCCCAATAACAAAAATATTCCAGGACCAAAGGGACAGAAGCTTGGACATAGAACCGCAGTTTTAAGACACAAGCGTGTATAAATAAAGCGAACTAAGGACCTAATGAAAACTGTGGTCAGCATTTTTATTATTTTAACTATTAAAAAAATGATCGGATATCATAAATACATTTTCACTCAAGCTGATAAATGTCCGAATGGCCAATTAAAATGTGTAAACATTTTTAGATAAATAAAACTTAATTCTTAGTAGTATAATTTTATATTTTTTGACTTTCTGCTACAAAAATTTAATTTAGGAAACATATTATTCCAGTTATTAGGAAGAATCTTATTTTAGTGATCTACAAATGGAACAACAGAGAGGAGTGCTTTAAATAAATGTAAAAACGGCCTGCCATAGCCCACTTCCTATGAACTTATTCATTCACTCGAGCAACAATCTTCTTGTTTCCCATCATCCTCTCCTTTGTAGCTGTAGCTCTGTTTCTGTCTTTTAAACACATTCTCTTTTTTGTTATTTTTTCGCATTTCTGCATTAAAGTCTCTATTTCCATTGGGGTGAAATAGGCATTTCCTGTTTCCTGTTGTCGTGGTGACTCGTCGAATCGGTGCTTCACTGATAATGGCTTTTCATACTTGTTGTGCACACGCTAAACTGAGTGAACCTAGTTAAACTTGATTGAACTAATTGATAGCAGCCGTTGTGAAACTAAACACTCAGAGTTCCTGACTTTAGGCTAGATTAATGTAGAGTTGCGGATTTGAATCTGAGTTTTTTAAACCTGCTTCAGGAAATGAAGGATTTTAAATTTAATATAGATTTAACAGGAAGTCTTTTAAGAGAAGCTAAGACATGAGAAGTGTGATCTCTCTTTTAATTTTCATCAGAACTCTGGCTGCAGCATGTGGACTTCCTGATAGTAATTCCACAAATTGCGTGGCTTGGAATTTTTGTGTGACATCCTTTCTAATCATATCTGATAGGTTTTAACTAGGGATGCAGGATATAATGGGCCCCCTATCGGTATCGGCCTCAAAACTGAATATCGGACATCGGCCACCCCACCGATATTTAACCCGATATTTGATCAGCTTCTGAGTTTCTAAAGTCTAAAAAAGCAAAAAAAAATACTACTACTTCTTTTTCCTCAAAAACTACAGACTTAAAAACTTTTAAAGACGAGGGAAAAAATAGTGATCCATTAAAATATCCCAATATCTTCATATGCTGATATATTGCCATTTAAAAACACCATATCAATCTCTTTTACTAATGAAATATTGCTATATGTCATCGTTATGCTACGAAATCCCCCGAAAATCTATGAAATGTTGCCATATTTTTATATGTTGATATATTGACGCGGTATCGATCTATTTTACTAACAAAATCTTACAAGAATTTGCAAAATATCACGAGAGTTTGTAACAGAACGATGAAATTTCACCAGATTTTGAAAGTAAAATAGATCGATACCGCGTTTTTAAAAATCTATTTGATATCAGCATATGAAAATATATTTGAGTATATTATTTTTCAAAGTGTCAGAAATGGATAACAAAACTGCTATTTTCAATGACTACTTATTTTTGTCCAGCTTTAACATCGGTATCGACATCGGTTACCGGCTACATGAGTTTTAAAATATCGGCATATCGGATATCGGCCAAAATCCCAATATCATGCATCCCTAGTTTTAACCTGATGATGCTGACCCTGTTAGTCCCGCCTTTAAAATCTAACTCTACCAGCTCTTTACCAGAATGATACAGCGAGTATACGGTGTATCTGTCTGCTATCAACCTGTTCTACCAGTTTAACTTACAGTACCACCATAATGTTCTGCCTTCTTCCTGTTTAGATGTTCATGTTTAATACACAACAACATGTACGACTCAAAAAGTGAGTCAAAACGCAACCATAAAACCTGCAGGACCTGATAATTATAAAGACTCCATTAATCTGTTTAGGATTACCAGGTTAATACGCAACACAATAATGAAGATTCAGCCTCTGACCATCATGACCTTACCTGATTTGATGAGTTCACCTCTTTACGAATGAAGCCAGTTAAACGGCCCTTTGAAGTGCACGATGTAATTTCATCCTCATAACATCTGCAGGAAATGTTTCACATATATCACCCAAATAAGCAGGAAGTAAAATAATCACTGTAACCATAGCAGCTTTAACTCAGTTACCACACAGGGGCCAGAATATGACTAAGGAAAAAATGTCTCCTCTTAGCTGTTTCTAAACAGAGGTAAAAATATAACAAAACAACCAATAAAAGAAAAAACTTATAACTTTCATTAAATATATATGCAACAATATTTATTAATAAAAAAACAGGCCTTTAGGAAGCGAGATTATAAGAATAATAAATGTATCCCATCAGCATGGCATCGGCGGCGTCATTTACCCGGTCCATTCTATGGGGCCCAGCTTGTGACAATCATCCAGAACTAAATGACAAGGCTCTGTAAAAAGGACAGAAAATGGTAAGAAGTCAGAAGAACTAACCTTTGAAAAAGAAACTCAGCTAGAGAAGCTTCACGATAATTATTATTAATATTAATATATTACTTTTGATTATTTTTACAAAACAAAATGTAACAAATGAATTAGGGGGAGTGACTAGTAGTCAGGGCATAGAGCTTGGAATCCTGAGGTTCTGAGTTCGAGCCCCACTCCCACAGACTGCCACTCTGGTCTGAGCAAGACCCCTAACCCCACACTGCTCCCCGGGCGCCGCACAATGGCAGCCCACTGCTCCCCACGGGGAGGGGTTAAATGCAGAGGTAAATTTCTCCAATCTGAGATCAATAAAGTTCAATTATTATTAAATGGAGTCTTTACCACTTGTTTGCAACTTTAAGAAAGAAAAAAAGAAAAAAAGGTTTTTCTTTGAGCCCGCTGAGGGACACGGGCCCTGAAACAGACCCCAAGAACATTCTTTCTTTTTAATGTTTGTAAGGAAATATTGCTTTATCCTTAAGTTACATGTCTTTTTTTCTATTATTAAAATGATTCACTTCCTTCTGAATGCTTTTTCCCGCTGACGCAGCCACTGTGGTTAGTTAAAAGAACCACATGATGCTCCAGATCCACAGGTTAGTGACCCCTGGAAGGAAATGGGCTAATTGAAGCTCCCAGCTTCTCTTTATTAACCTTTTGTGTGGTTAGCAATATTTTGGGTAGGAAAGAAACTCTAGATTGTGTGTTGAATGTGGACAGCCTTAAACCCCCCCCCCCCCCCATCCCTCAGGGTCTAGAAGCATAAGATCTATATCGAGCCATTCAGCATAGATCCTGCTACATGGCTGTACATCTGATTTTGGCATTTGACCAATTAGATGAGTCCTTGAATGATATTACCTACTGGAAATTAAGAGGAAAAAAGTTAACTAGTCAAGAAAAAAAGGTAAAAAGCTAACTGAAAAGTTAAGAAATTAAGTTAAAAAGTTAATAATCCTAGTTAACAATTATATTTAGGTTTATAAACTAAAACATGTAAGTGTCAGTATCAAGGTTATGTTGGACCACAAAAAATATGTTCCTTTCACTCTCAGAGTGTTTTTCATGAATTTCTTATAGAAGCACTTTTTGTTTTCTTAATATATTTGGGTAAGTTGGTGTTTTTTGTTATTACATTAATTTTTGCCATCAAAATATCCGTATTTTTTTAACGTTACGAAGGTAATAAGGTCTTTCCCTGGATTCCAATAACACTACTGGCTTGAAATTTTGATTTTCAAAGTATTTACTGAGTGCCCTATAAAGGGTCAAGGTTAATCTATTTACTCTTGTTTTATTTAAAATTTAAACCTGGGCTAAAATAATATAGATCACTCATTGTCAAACAGTGGTAACTAAGGTGCTGTCACATGAGAGCCCCCTTGATGGTATTAAATAACATGCTATAAATGTTTTTAATACAAAAAATTAAAATTTTGTAGTATGTTGAGGCCTAATTTGGAACACCTTCCCTTTTCATTTATTCTTATGTAATTTATTCAGCTTTTAGTGCCAAGAGTCTTATTTCCACACATTAACGCATTTGGGTTACAAAATCAGATACTTTGTTGCTATATTTAACAACTTTTCAGACCCCTCTGGTGACTTTTTTATTTAAAATGAACGACTACAGAGAAATATACACAGGAAAAAAAGAAATCTAGATAAGTATTTTTTTCTTAAAATAAGTGCATTTGCTCTTGGATTTAGGAGGTAAAGGAGCCATTTTGCCAATGGAACAAGACAATTTACACTTAAAATAAGAAAAGACAATTGAAATGTCTTCTTTCAAGTACATATTATCTAATTATCGTATTTTAAAAGTAAAAATACTTATTTACCTCCTCAAATTAAGGTTAAATACACTTAATTTAGGACATTTTTACTTATTTCTACATCATTTTTCAAGTGTAAGGATTTTTTTATGTGTTGTTGGAAATTTTGCACTGCAAAAACGATATAGAAATAGGTAAAAATGTCTTAAATTAAGTGTATTTATTCTTAATTTGAGAAGGTAAATGAGATGGTTTGCCAATGGAATGAGTAATTTTACACTTAAAATAAGATACATGGATAAAATAAGACAATGCAGTTGTGTTTTCTTATTTTAAGTGTAAATTGTCTTGTTCCATTGGCAAAATATCTCTTTTACTTCCTCAATCCAAGAACAAATGCACTTATTTTATGATAAAAATAACGTATCTAGATTTAGATTTTTTGCAGTGTGGAGACAGCACATGAAATCAACACGTGTTCTGAAGTTACTAGCTGTGTCCGAACGTCTGTCCTAACCCCTAACCACTCAGTCACTATACAGAGCGGACTCCATATGGCGGACTTTAGACTAAACAGACAGATGCACTGCAAAAACAATCTAGAAATAAGTGAAAATGTCTTAAATTAAGTGTATTTTCCCTTAATTTGAGTAGGTAAATGAGATAGTTTGCCAATAGAATTGGTATTTCTACTCTTAAAATAAGATAATTAGATAATATGCACTTGAAATAAGACAATGCAATTGTGTTTCCTTATTTTAAATGTAAATTGTCTTGTTCCATTTGCAAAATGTCTCTTTTATCTCCTCAATCCAAGAACAAATGCACTTATTTTAAGAAAAAATTACTTATCTAGGTTTTGTTTTTTTCCAGTGTGATGACTACACTGGAAAACGACCCAGAAATAAGTAAAAAGTTCTTAAATTAAGTGTATTTAACCTTAATTTGAGTAGGTAAATGAGATCATTTGCCAATGGAATGAGTATTTTTACTCTTAAAATTAGATATTTAGATAAAAGGCATTTGAAATAAGTCAATACAATTGTGTTTTCTTATTTTAAGTGTAAATAGTCTTGTTCCATTGGCAAAATGTCTCTTTTACCTCCTCAATTCAAGAACAAATTCACTTATTTTAAGAAAAACTAGATTTCGATTTTTTCCAGTGTACTTTTTGCCCCCTGTTGGTCGTGTAACTCGGCCTCCCAGCATGGTGCCTGCGTCATCTTTGTTTTTTCTCACCACCACAAAAAATCCCATGATGCTTTGCGAGGAAAGCTGCGAAGCATTCTGAGATATATCTGATAGTGACCATAGATGATCACTACTTTTTCAAGATGCATTGTTTCAAGTCCACTACGTTTTCATCGACTAGATGTTCGGACACTCATCTAAAATGGCATAACCACTATATAGTGCTCTATAAAGTAATAAGATCACCTAATTTCTTCAGATAAGAAGCTTTGTTAAAGCAAATCACAACAATCTTAACAAGCCCCCTCTTGCCTTACTTGAAAAGTTAATGACTCAGAATAAATCAAGGAGGGGCATCATCTCAGACTTTAACAATATTCTGATCTCTAACTCACTATGAAATTCAAATAATAAGCTTATGAACTGGAACTTGGACCTATCAGCAGACATTAGTGAACAGGATTGGGAAAAAGTTTGCATTAAAACTCTGACAATGTCCATAAAGAGCCGTCTTAGAATTCTACAATTTAAATGGCTAATGCGTATCTATGTTACACCCGCGCATTTAAATAAATACAACAATAACATCCCAGATATTTGTGTAAAATGTAATTCTAAAGGGACTCTAATACACTGCATGTGGGAATGCAAACAAATGAAAGCATTTTGGATAGAGGTGAAAGATATAATTGAAAAAATTATTTTAAAACAAGTCTCACTGGATCCTAAATTGTTCCTGTTAGCTTTATACCCTGGGGAACATAACTTTAGTAAATCAAAATGTACTTTTATAGATATTAGCTCGTTAGTTGCAAAAAAATGCATTGCTTTAGCTTGGAAGAATATCAGGAGACCTAACGCTACTCAGCAGAGATGGCAAAAGTACTCACTTTCAGTACTTGACTAAAAGTACAGATACTTGTGTAAAAAAAATACCCTGATTAAAGTGGAAGTACTGATTAAACTTCTTTACTCAAGTAAAAGTAACAAAGTACAGGCTTGTAAATTTACTTAAAGTATCAAAGTAAAAGTAGAAACCACTTTTTTCATGCCGTTGCCTACATTTTAAATGGATGTCTGCCAATAGGACTAGATCTCCGTTGTGTTCATTTTCAATCATCTCGTCGTCCATGCTACTATGCTAACGCCACCGCCACCAAGCTGCAATGATTTGCCGCCAATGAATACCGCCGAATCTGTCGATTCATCTTGTAGTGGTGCGTCAAATGCAACGTAGATTCCCATCCAATTAGATTGAATTTGGTATTGATGACGTGAAAAATAATAACGCTAACTCCATTGAAATGATTCAAAACTAAAGTAACGAGCCAATTTTTTAAAATGTAAGGAGTAGAAAGTACAGATATTTGTGTAAAAATGTAAGGAGTAGAAGTAAAAAGTCGCCATAATAATAAGTAGTAAAGTAAAGTAAAAATATCAGAAAAATCTACTTCAATTCAATTCAGTTCAGTTTATTTATATAGCGCCAAATTCACAACACATGTCATCTCAAGGCACTTTACAGTTCAACCAGATCATACAGTCAAATTGATACAAAGTTTTCTGTCTAAGGAAAACCAGTTGATTGCATTGACTCAAATACAATCCCTCACACTAAGCATGCTTGTAGCGAATTACTGTACTTGAGTACAGTAATGAAGTATTTGTACTTCGTTACTTCCCATCTCTGATACTCAGTGGTTAAAACAGATGTTGTCTAGTTTGCCGCTAGAAATAATTACATATAAAGAAATTCAAACGGTATCTTCTCGAGAGGATTTGGGGCCTTTCCTTAATTTTATTAAGGACTTAAACTTGACTGAAGGCCTGTTTGAGTTATAATCTACTGGAACCTGTGGTGTGCCATGTTGTATAGATATGTATATCCATATCTGACTAATTAGTACTTTCTTACATACCCCTGTTTTTGAGAAGCTGTGTGTTGTTTTTTTGTTGTTGTGTTTTTTATATAGTGATTAGACACAGCCACTGTCTTCAGGCCATAATAGTGAGAACATGTGTAGCAACTGCTTAACATCAGGAGCCAGCAGCAGCCCTTACTGTGGGCCGTAAGCTGACAAACGCTGTTGAGCCTTGCCTTTGCTATAAACATTTCGCACGCTTGCTTCCTTCTACAACAACGCAAGTGTGCAATAAAGCCTTTATTACCTTTATTAAATATAAACACAAAGCAGTATAGATGAAGCCGATGATCTCAGATTGAAGACAGAATATTCTTGTCTCCAACATTATTGCTATGATGGTTGTGTTGAGCTGCTGCTATTAAAGTTGTTAATAATTCAGTCCAGTTTTTATTTCAGCAGAGTTAGGATTATTTCTGCTGAGCATTTATAAACAGACTGGTGTTTTTTTGGTGCAACAATTATAATTCAAATGGAAGGCCATTTTCTCCACATGAAAGTAAAAAATTACTAATAGAAAGTCATGATTACACTGCAAAAAATCTGAATCTAGATGAGTCATTTTTTCTTAAAATAAGTGCATTTGTTCTTGGATTGAGGAGATAAAAGAGACATTTTGCCAATGGAACAAGTCAATTTACACCTAAAATAAGAAAACACAATTACATTGTCTTATTTCAAGTGCATATTATCGAATTATCTTATTTTAAGAGTAAAATGACTAATTCCATCAGCAAACTATCTCACTTACCTGCTCAAATTAAGGGTGAATACACTTAATTTAAGAAATTTTTACTTTTTTCTAGATCGTTTTTGCAGTGTATGAGTTAAAAAGTCATAATTTCGACTTTTAAAGTCATAATTAGGTGTTAAAACTCCTAATAATGACTCAGAAAGTCAAAATTATGACTTTGAATCTCAAAATTATGATTTTTTTCAGTTTCTTTCAGTTTTTCATTTTTTTTTTTATCTTCATGTGGCATAAATCGGCTTGAGTAATTTTAGATCGCAATTTACCATACAAATTTCATTTGAATAGTTCAAACATAAAATGTGTGTTGCTAGAGTTGAAAACAAACAAACAAATAGGATTTTATATATATATAATAAACAGCCGTGTCTACACTTCAAACAATTTATGCCCCAAAATGGAAACGTATGACAGTTTCTTACAACATAGTGGTTCTTGATTATCAAACAGAAGTTTTTAAAGGTACTCAGAGAAAAAAAAAAAGTTTGAGAGCTAGTGATCTAAAAGCAGTTTAACTGGTGCTTAGATTAAATCCCCAGAGTACTCACTGGCTTTGGTTGTAGAGAAGCCGATTGTTATGAAATATAGAGCGATCCACTTCATGTCTGCCTCTACCAAAAGCAGGTCCAAATACAGTGCTGCTCTTCGTGGTTTAGGGTTCTTGTTGCAGCCAGTTTCACATCTGCTTTGATCACATGCAGAGAGAGGTGACGCACGGCAGAAAGCAGGAAATAACTCATCATAGATATGCGGAGGATTTCTTTGTGAATTCATTAATATTGTTCCAGTTGTTCAAAGTTTGGCCAAAGGGCTACGAGTTTGATCAGCTTGTTTCAAAAACAATTATTAGATCTATAACATGTTTTTAACTGTGACTAAACTTACAAAGTTTAGTCTATTTCTAAACAAAAGCAGAAGTTTGGAAAATGTTGCATGATTGTCATGCCAGTTAAGAAATACTGACATTTGCAGAAAAGCTAAAACTCCAAGGTGGGCCAAAAGAAAGAGTTTAACGTTGGCAGTTTTGTAAAATTTGCTGGTAATAAACTTACAGGAACTATTTGTATTTCACATAAAGCTACAACAGAATATTTATCAGATTTACTGATATTTATTGCAAACTATAAACGATAATAAATCTTTAGACATATTCAACTGGTAGAAATTAGTCAGGGAGAAAAATCTATGGTACTGGTGAGTTTCCCCTCAATAAATTAAATCATCTGTTCAAAATTCAGTAGTTGAACTTGTTTGATAATTTGACCAGAAATGTGAAAACAGACGATGAAAAACAACTTTTTTTTACTTTATTGTTGAGGTGGGGTGGAGCCTGTGAAGTTCCATTGAAAGAAGACGAAATGGTAAATAAGCAAGAGTTTCCTGTGCGATGTCAGAGATGCCAGGGTTGTTAGTACAGGTTTAGACAACCTCAGACCACAACTGAACGAAATGTTTCCCCCAACTGGCCTCCATTACATCCTATGGTGATGCATCATCTGCTAAAACCCTCCTCCTCCTCCAGTCTGAAAGGGTTAGACTACTAGTTAAGTCATCATGGTTATAGTAACTTCAAGATAGATTAATTAAGAAAAATGGATTTCATCTTGTGTGGTTAAAAATGTTTCATACCTTACATGAAGGGGCTTTGGGAACTCATTCCAATCAGGGGGGAGTTTCAGACTCATCTTGTTTGGATTGTACCGATGCTCACTGGGTTTTAGTCAAAGTTGGTGAAATTAATTCAATTAAGCTCAGTTTATTCACACCACATGTCGTCTCAAGGCACTTTACAAAGACAATCCAACCAGATCATCCAGTCAAATTGATTCAAAGTCGTAAAGAAAACCAGCTGATTGCATCGACTCATTGACTCTTCAGCAATCCCTCATACTAAGCAGGCTTGTAGCGACAGTGGAGAGGAAAAACTCCCTTTGAACAGGAAGAAACCTCCAGCAGAACCAGGCTCAGTGTGAGCGGCCATCTGCTGAGGCCCACTGGGGTTCAAGGAGACAGAAGCAGACATAGAAAAAGAAGCATAGATACAAAAGGCAACCGTCAACCAGCTCCACAGGCGGCCCCGTCCAGGAAACACACAGCCAGGCAGACGAGCTCCGAGCCAGCTCCCATGTCAGAGGATGAAGAGAGCACATCCAGTTAGTCACAGTCAGAGAAACAGGACTACACTGGAAAACAGGCCAAGCTCCAACATCTAGAAACAAAGGTGTTGATGGCAGCAGCACAGCTGATATTTCTCTCCAGGATGGAGTCACAGCCAAACAGGAACAGACCAGATGAAGCTACTATGAGAAAAAGCAGAGAGAGCAGAATGTTAGAGATTGAACTAACAGATTCTGCAGAGTGGGAGAATAGAGATTGAATGAAGCAGAATGATGAAAAAGGGGTCCCTATGTCCTCCAGCAGTCTAAGCCTATAGCAGCAGAACTATAGAGATAGCTCAGGATAACCTGAGCCACTCTAACTAGAAGCTTTATCAAAAAGGAAAGTTTTAAGCCTAGCCTTAAAAGTAGACAGGGTGTCTGCCTCACGGACTAAAACTGGTAGTTGGTTCCACAGGAGAGGAGCCTGATAATTAACCCTTTAAAGCCCGATCCAAGAATAAAACAAAACAGAAAATTACTTTTTTTTTGGTTTGAATTCCTTATTTGCCCTTTTAACAAAATATGTAAAAAGAAAAAACAGAAACACATTTTTGATATTAATAATTTATTACTATGTGATAAGTCAAGATTATTTTTTGTGTAGTCTTCTGCCCTCTGTTATCAGGTATATCTGATTGTGTACAATAGGATTTTGAGCAAAGTTTTTACCATTAAATTATGCAAAAGGTGTCAGACGCAAAACATTTCAGAAACCGTATGTATCAAATACGATACATTTGGCATTATAGGGTTAAAAGATCTGCCTCCCATTCTACTTTTAGAAATGACCAAAAAATAGCTGTGACTTTTGAGTCCTAAATATAAAGGTGTCTGCTTCAAAGTTTTTAAAACTTTAAATTCTCAGCTCAGTAATAAACTGCTTCTTATATCGTTTATTTTTTTCATACTGTACCCCTCTATGTTCTTGTGATGCAAATAACCCATTTCAGAGAACTTACTGATCTGACCAGCTCTATACCAGAGTTGAACCTTTTTGGTGCTGTTGATCTGAAAATACAGTCAGAGACAATTATTCAAAACAAAGCAGGACTAGATATAGCAACTAACTTTCAGTACTTTCTCACTTGAAATTGTTAGGAGCTGCATCAGGCCACTGCTGCCAGGTGCCGCCATGATTATAGTCATCATCGATTATCAAATTAATTTTTTAATTTGATAATTTGCTTCATTCTATCTCTATTCTCCCACTCTGCAGAATCTGTTAGTTCAATCTCTAACGTTCTGCTCTCTCTGCTTTTTCTCATAGTAGCTTCATCTGGTCTGTTCCTGTTTGGCTGTGACTCCATCCTGGAGAGAAATATCAGCTGTGCTGCTGCCATCAACACCTTTGTTTCTAGATGTTGGAGCTTGGCCTGTTTTCCAGTGTAGTCCTGTTTCTCTGACTGTGACTAACTGGATGTGCTCTCTTCATCCTCTGACATGGGAGCTGGCTCGGAGCTCGTCTGCCTGGCTGTGTGTTTCCTGGACGGGGCCGCCTGTGGAGCTGGTTGACAGTTGCCTTTTGTATCTATGCTTCTTTTTCTATGTCTGCTTCTGTCTCCTTGAACCCCAGTGGGCCTCAGCAGATGGCCGCTCACACTGAGCCTGGTTCTGCTGGAGGTTTCTTCCTGTTCAAAGGGAGTTTTTCCTCTCCACTGTCGCTACAAGCATGCTTAGTGTGAGGGATTGCTGAAGAGTCAATGAGTCGATGCAATCAGCTGGTTTTCCTTAGATAGAAAACTTTGAATCAATCTGACTGGATGATCTGGTTGAACTGGAAAGTGAACTGAGATGACATGTGTTGTGAATTTGGCGCTATAGAAATAAACTGAATTGAATTGAATTAAACTTTCTTGTCAGTTATTTTTCTTTCAGAAAAAAAGGTTTCTGCAGAGATTCTAGAAGAAATTTTAATGGAATCATATTGTTCTTTGATTGACCTCTTTGGTAGCCTTAGTTTTGTCATTAATACATAAAAAGTCAAGCTGAAGGATTCACCGTTTAGGGGAACATCTTTAACATCAGCTTGTTAAATGTCAGAAGAAAGCTCTGCGTGGCATCGCACTTCTCACGACACCTCTGAGTAGTGCGAACGTCAGGGTTGCTGCTATAAGGCGGCCTAGACAGCAGACAATGACATTTGATGCTAGATTCTATATCTGACTTAACATGAAACCTTAAAGTAGAAGTTGCTGCTATGAAGACAAACAGATGTCATTTACAACAATGTTTTCTTACTGTTTGGATGCTGGAATCATGTTTCTTTATTATTGTGTTTTATTCTTTTATGACATGTCATGACTAAGCAAGTGTTACTGTGACAAAATACCCATAAATATTGTCACAATCAACATTAACTATAAAGCTTCATATCAACAGGCTAATGCTGATTAGAAACGTCTCTAGGGTTGTTTGCAAAGCCACCCAGGAGACACAAGACAAGCACATGCCCTTTCACACTCATGCTCAAAGCTGTGGCTGTTTCAAGATCAGTAGCACGTATACTTTTGGAGTGTAGGAGGAAGTGGGATTATTAAAAGAAACCCAAATATTGATAGAGAGACAAGCAAGTGTGAGACAGTGAGTAACACGGAAACGTTAAACCTTTCCTTTATTCTAAAGCCTTAACAGGGTTATTCACAATATAAACACATTAGACATCAATCATAATCATGATAGCTATTATACTCCTGAACCAACATACATGTCAGTGCTGAATGCCACACATGTTACTTTTTATTTAACTTTATTTAACAACTATAATCCCATTGAGATAAACATAAACAAGCCCTAACCAATAGAGAACTTATTCATAACAGTAAACTAGATTTCAGTCAACATAATGCAGCATAAATGATTCAAACATTTCATGTTAGATTACAGTTTTTTTTAAAAAGCATGCGGATATACTTTTAAAGGAAAATGAGGGATTATGAACTGGAAATGCCAGATTATAGAGCTTCATCATTAAAAGTTAGCTCAGAACTTTAGCAGTGGAGCTCTGATAACAGCTGGAAGCTGATTTGCATGCAGCTTGCATGATTAGATAAAGCTCTAAGTATCTTTATTTCCATAATTTACCTAGCTCTGGCCTCATGTACAAAGGAGTGCACAACTCGTATGCTGAAAGTTTGCAATTCTCTAAAATTTGGGTGTGAGACAATAATTCAGATGTATAAAACCGTGCATACATGTTTCTCTGCATACCTTACCGTCCTTTATCCTTATTTTGCCGGGAATTGGTCCAACTAACGGGGGATTCCCCCCCGTTTATTTAAAATATTATGCAAATATATTTCCAGAGAACACACATCACATGTCTAAATAACAATGGCCATGTTGTTACCAGAGAGACTCAATACAGCTCAGTCAGAATGGTGACAGCCAGCCATCTATGGAATGTCATCAGTGATTATTGAATAAAGTGGCACATAATAAAAAGTAATACTCATTAATAGTAATATAGTATGAACTGAGGCGGGCTATACGCCGGGGGGGTGGGGGGGTAGAGACACTGCCCTCTGAATCACATGCCTTGCCAGCTCAACTCAAACCTGCCGAAAAAAACATAACTCGGGTTCTGCTGCACATCAGATTAAGCAGGCTGTAAATGAAAGTCTCAGAGTTCTGAATTTTTTTCCCCTATTAAAATGAAATAACATTTTTAAAAAATCAGTTAACTTTTTTTTTTTTTTTCAGTGGCCTTACACTGCAAAAACTATCTAGAAATAAGTAAAAATTTCTTAAATCAAGTGTATTTACACTTAATTTGAGTAGGTAAATCAGATAGTTTGCCAATAAAATGAGTATTTTTAGTCTTGAAATAAGATAATTAGATAATATGCACTTGAAATTAGACAATGCAATTGTGTTTTCTTATTTTAAGTGTAAATTGTCTTGTTCCATTGGCAAAATGTCTCTTTTACCTTCTTAATCCAAGAAAAATTCACTTATCTTAAGAAAAAATTACTTATGTAGATTTAGATTTTTTGCAGCGTAATCCTTTTCCGTAATCCAGAACTCCTCAAGTGCAAGTGTAATTGAAAAAATTATTGACAGATTAATTAATTTGCAAAAAAAAAAAAAGTTAATTGTAAAACAAAATTCTGGATAACATTGATAAAAAAAAAAAGGATGACAACTTAATTCAAAATTTAAAAAGACTTGAAAAGAGGCTGAAGGGATAAGAAAAGTTTTTTGCCAAAACATAATTGAACCTAAAGGTTTTACGTAACTTCCCAGCACCTTCGATACTTTGGGATTTTAGTCCAAGACAAAGTAGTTTAATGTGGGACCAAATGATGTTACTGCGTTTTTTAAAATGCTTTCCAAATTGAAATCTGGAGAATGTGGTAGCTGTTTGTTTGTGCCTCTAAGAAAAAAATCTATTGAAAGCAAAGGGTGTGAAAACTTACTAAAAAAGTTGATACAGTCCCCATGTTTAACTACATTAAAACACTTTTACAATGAAACTGTGGAGGCATCAGGCTGTGGTTTAAATGATCTCCACCAAAAACAGGGAAGCTAATTGACCTTGATGGTAGAATGGATGGAGCTCAATGAAGGACATGGAGAAACCAAACTGGTAGAGGCTGCTGACCGAGACACTCCTCAGCAGTGAGAAAGTCTGCTGGTAAAATATGAATAAAAGCCATTTCTATCAACAATTATGTGCTATGTTTAGTTTTTTCTATGTTTTTAAAAAAAACAAATCCTAAACGCTGGAGTTTGTGGAGGTAAAGCCACAAAGAGTAAATAGGTTAGGATTATGAATGCTTGTTCAGGGCACAATTAAAAAAAACTTAACATGGTTGAAACTTTATTGCAGTAATGTATCCAAAAGAGATTTTTTTAACCCCTTTTAACTTGCAGCTTTTGCTCTTTGTATGATAAACAACATGCTTCCGTTTAAATTCTCACCGTAGGTTGATTTTAAAATAGAGTATATTATAAAGTAGATATCGCCATTTTTTTTGGAAGAGGCTGTTTACGTCGTCTTGTAGCCTTTTCCTTAATTGGATTTAGCAAACCCTTCATTAATCTGTTCTCTGGTGTTTTCACTCTTTATCCAGCTAGTATACTTCATGAGCCTCTGTTTTAAGTAGTGTTGCACCAATACCGATACCAGTATCGGACGGAGCCCCGATACAGCCCTAAATTGGTATCGGTATCGGCGAGTACCAACAAATAGGGCACCGATACCATTTTGAGAGCCATAAGTTTATTCAACTATTGTCAACCATTCCAGGTAGGCAATAAAAAGTTCTACTGGATTTACTTTGTATTTTTTCCTGCTTCACAAAGGTATGCAGCAGCTTGACAAAGCCATGATGGCAATTATTTTACATTATTTTGGTATCGGTATCGGCCGATACTGCATAGCCAGGTGTCGGGTATCAGGGCCAAAAAATGGCATCGCTGCAACACTAGTTTTAAGTCATATTTATGCCCCAAAAAGACATGAAGTGTTAGACTACTACTAACACATTGCTAGACAGCCCCATCGACTTCCAGGAGTAAAGTGAAACATCGCTTTAGTTGTGTTGATTTTCCACAAAAAGTGCCACTGACTGCGATGCCAGTAAGCTCATAAAAAGTAAGCTGTGATTACAATTTAATAAGTTACAGTTTAGATTTCAAGTCTAGATTTCTTCAAATATTTCTAGTGTTAAAATATGTAGTTGCAAAGTTGATAAAAGTATTTAAAGACTTATTACAGATCTCTACCAAGATTTCTTTACTTTAAACATGTACACATCTATATAAGCAGATTTTTTTTGGAAGTGGCTGTTTACATCGTCTTGTAGCCTTTTCCTAAATTGGATTTAGCAAACCCTTCGTTAATCTGTTCTCTGGTGTTTTCACTCTTTATCCAGCTAGTATACGTCATGAGCCTCTGCTTTAAGTAATATTTATGCCCCAAAAAGACATGAAGTGTTAGACTACTACTAACACATTGCTAGACAGCCCCAGCAATTTCCAGGAGTAAAGTGAAACAGCGCTTTAGTTGTGCTGATTTTCCACAAAAAGTGCAAAAGTAAGCTGTGATTACATTTCAACAAGTTACAGTCTAGATTTCTTCAAATATTTCCAGGCTTAAAATATGTAGTTGCAAAGTGGATAAAAGTATTTAAAGAAAGTACAGATTTCTAACAAGATTTCCTTCCTTTAAACATGCAAACATCTATATAAGCAGATTATTTTTTGGATCCATCCAGAGGAATAGGAGTTCTACTCGGTTTTGGTGTCTGAAGTCATCACAGGGTTTGAAGACAGTTTATCCTCCATTACTCTCCTCTGTTGCTTCTTGGCCGAGAGACAGATCCACATGAAAATAAAGAAGCCTTTGGAAAAAGATACCAAAACTTATAAGTTTAACTTCAAACTGTTCTCCAACAAGCAGAGCTGGCCTGAGCCATTTTGTTACCTTAGAAGAGGTTATGATTCACTCACACTAACTAAACCCTAAATGTGAGTGATAACAGCTGTATGCATTACGGGTTTCATTGTGCAGATAAGCTGCTCCACCATTAATGCTAATATACACTCACCGGCCACTTTATTAGGTACACCTGTCCAACTGCTCGTTAACACTTAATTTCTAAGCAGCCAATCACATGGCGGCAACTCAGTGCATTTAGGCATGTAGACATGGTCAAGACAATCTCCTCCAGTTCAAAGCGAGCATCAGTATGGGGAAGAAAGGTGATTTGAGTGACTTTGAACGTGGCATGATTGTTGGTGCCAGAAGTGCTGGTCTGAGTATTTCAGAAACTGCTGATCTACTGGGATTTTCACGCACAACCATCTCTAGGGTTTACAGAGAATGGTCCGAAAAAGAAAAAACATCCAGTGAGCGGCAGTTCTGTGGGCGTAAATGCCTCGTTGATGCCAGAGGTCAGAGGAGAATGGCCAGACTGGTTGGAGCTGATAGAAGGACAACAGTGACTCAAATAACCACCCGTTACAACCAAGGTGGGCAGAAGAGCATCTCTGAACGCACAGAACGTCGAACTTTGAGGCAGATGGGCTACAGCAGCAGAAGACCACACCGGGTGCCACTCCTTTCAGCTAAGAACAGGAAACTGAGGCTACAATTTGCATAAGCTCATCGAAATTGGACAATAGAAGATTGGAAAAACGTTGCCTGGTCTGATGAGTCTCGATTTCTGCTGCGACATTCGGATGGTAGGGTCAGAATTTGGCGTCTACAACATGAAAGCATGGATCCATCCTGCCTTGTATCAACGGTTCAGGCTGGTGGTGGTGGTGTCATGGTGTGGGGAATATTTTCTTGGCACTCTTTGGGCCCCTTGGTACCAATTGAGCATCGTTGCAACGCCACAGCCTACCTGAGTATTGTTGCTGACCATGTCCATCCCTTTATGACCACAATGTACCCAACTTCTGATGGCTACTTTCAGCAGGATAATGTGCCATGTCATAAAGCTGGAATCATCTCAGACTGGTTTCTTGAACATGACAATGAGTTCACTGTACTCAAATGGCCTCCACAGTCACCAGATCTCAATCCAATAGAGCATCTTTGGGATGTGGTGGAAAGGGAGATTCTTATCATGGATGTGCAGCCGACAAATCTGCGGCAACTGTGTGATGCCATCATGTCAATATGGACCAAACTCCCTGAGGAATGCTTCCAGCACCTTGTTGAATCTATGCCACGAAGAATTGAGGCAGTTCTGAAGGCAAAAGGGGGTCCAACCCGTTACTAGCATGGGGTACCTAATAAAGTGGCCGGTGAGTGTATATATATATATATATATATATTTCACCAACTTTGACTAAAACCCCCAGAGCATCGACACAATTCACCTGACATACTCCTTGGATTCTCACTCCTTGGGGTTCACATCACACCAGTTTGCTGTAAAAAATGCTAATACCATTATGGCCACTGAACCAGTACTTTTGGCAAGGCTAGCAGATGCCATCACTAGCTATAAAAGCAAATAAGCGTTTCTACAAAGTTTGTTAACAGAAGGACGCAGAATCGCTCTTGGTTAATCTGTGTATTACAGTAATGTGTTGACTGAGGATTTCAAAAACCCATTGGAACACGATATAATGACTTGATGCCACAAACCAACACTGACTGTTGAAACTCAATTCAACAAAATGAAACTCTGGAACTGAAGTGGGGCTCTTTCACAGCACATCTGCTGTGGTGGAAGAGAGAAAGATAACTAAAAACTGTCTTCCCCTTCTCAAGAAACTGTCTTGGGAAACCTGAGGTGTTGAAAGGACAGCCAAGAGTCATAGTTCCTCCAGTGTGTCCTTGGCTGTCCGCTGGGGCTCATGCTAATGTGACATACCTGAAACACGGGGCATCTCAAACAGGTGGCCTGGTCTATTAAGCTACCTGCTCTCAATGCGGAGGATTAGGGTCTCTGATCCTCATCCTATTTCTAACAGGGTGCCTAGCCACCAATCAGAGATCAAATGGCCCCAATTTGGAGACTCCAAGCTCTGTACTCCTGAAGCACTCCCCCACGGGGGTTAAAAAGTGACGCAGTTGGAAGCTTTCTCTGGGTCCTCAAAGCACATGTAAACCTGTTAGGCAAGCTCTTACGTACCCTCTTATGTACCCTGCAGGGGGTGTAGAGCTTGTCCATTCTCCATGGCCAGTTGTGCTGCTCTTTAAGAACTCGAGGTTTGTCAGTTAGCTGCATTGTCCTCTCCATCAACTGACAGTAGGCTTTCTTTGGGAGGCTGGGAATTGTGAGTCTAATATAGTTAGAATAGACCATCCTGCCATCACACCTGGGTCTGCCAGTTCAGGAAAACTTGTCCTGATTCCTATGCTTTTTTAAAGAGTAATGACAGTCCCACAGCATCCAGAGGCCTGATATTCAGGGGGAATCTCTTCTACCCCTGATCCTTTTCACCACCTTGATAAAAAGTTCAGGTGAAAAACAAGACTGATTCTGAGCACCTAATCTCTGCTATCTTCAGGGGAGGGTTGAGAAGCTTCTCAGAGTATTTTTTACAAAGTCCAGCAACATCCTTAGTCAAGGTCAGCATCTCCCTTCCTCCACCGGAAACAGAGCTAGCAAAGCATTGCTTTTCCCTGCAGAAGTGACAGATGGTTTGCCAGAAATGCTTTGATGCAGACTTACTTTCTTAATGGCGCCACCAAAGTCCGTCCGGGTGTGAGCATTTGCCTTTGCAAGTGCTTGGGCAGCAGCAAATCTGAGATTTCTCCTGGGGTTGGGAGATGAATAGCCGCTCACACTGAGCCTGGTTCTGCTGGAGGTTTATTTCTGTTAAAAGGGAGTTTTTCCTCTCCGCTATTGCTACAAGCATGCTTAGTGTGAGGGATTGCTGAAGAGTCAATGAGTCGATGCAATCAGCTGGTTTTACTTAGATAGAAAACTTTGAATCAATCTGACTGGATCATCTGGTGAACTGGAAAGTGCCTTAAGATGACATGATGTGAATTGGCGCTATAGAAATAAACTGAATAAAATTGAATTGAATGTGTCATTGACCGAGTGCTCAGCCAGACTTTGCAAACAGAGCCTTACTACCTACCTCGGTCTACCGATTCTGTTTGCATTCCTTCCCTAACTGCGGATCCAAGTTACTACTAGATGGTTTTCAGTGGACAGCTCACGCCCTTCCTTAACCCGAGTGTCTAAAGGCTGATTTATACTTCAAAACTAGGTCATCTGCATAGGTGTCTCAGTGAACAAAAAGACGCCCCCTCTTCAGACACTCCGCTGCACCTCTCCCAAATTGTAGGTGACCGCAGAAAGGGCCGCAGACAGGAGGCCGGCTTGTTTTTTTTTTATAACCGAAATTGTGGAAAACAACTCGTGAAGTTTGACCAACTAGAAGAGCGAGGTGTGCGAGAACGTTGGGACCCTTTTTCCACCTGGATCTCTGCTCTTTTTGGCCCTCATGTCCATCCGTTGTCGGACTAAACTCGCCCCCACTTCCCCACCGCCTCGGCCGTATCTAGACCCACAGCGTGTAGCGCAGACCACGCGTCAATACCGGGCTAAATCAAAAATGTCTGCATCAAGCTCACTGCGACACACTGCTGCGGCAGTATAACCAGCCCTTAAAACATGCAGCTAAAGTTCAGACGACTTGACTACAATTTGGATTATTGAATTCCAGCCTAGGAAGTCCTGGTGCCAGGTGCACTGATGGTTTTCAGCATTGTTGGAAGTAAATGAAATGATAAAAAAAAAAACAACAGAGATTTGGGTGATGTTTTAAATTATTACTTTTTTTTGTTGAATGGCTAAAAGCACCCTCCCTCAGTTGTTGCCTCCAGGGACCGCCTACATTGACTTTGCCTAGAGCCAGCTCTGCAGAAAAGGACATTAACATACCAATAGATATGGCTGATAGTTCTTACCTTGTAAGGAGTTCAGGATGCAAAAAAGATAGAGAACTGGGTAGTTGATGTAGCCAGATCCCAGGAAGGCAAGACCCCAAGTCATTCCCGTCAGGCAGGTAAGGCCCAGTAAAGTGAGACTACTCTGGCAGGATGTTTTGAACCTCTCTGGAACTCCCCATGACTTTCCACTGATGATAGCTCTATGCTTTGAGGTTCTCATTAACACTCGTCTCATCTTACAGATGCTTGAGCCCACTGCCACTAGTATACCAGTGTTAAAGATGAATACAAGAGCAAAATAAACAATGTTTACAGAGTAGAAGAAGGTGTCATCTGTGATCCAACAGCTGTAAGACAAAACACATAAAAAGATAATAACAAAGCTGTATTTCCCAGGATACAATAGAAAAAAGGAAAAAAGCCATGGACATTTTAAAGGGTTTAAAAAAATAACACATCATCATTTAGGATTTTCTTTAACAGATTAAGTTGCCAGAAAGTATGCTAACAAGATATAATAACGAAACCCCAAAACAAACATTTAGATAATGATCCCATTGGAAAGTTTGATAAAAATATACACTGCTCAAAAAAAATAAAGGAACACTTTGAAAACACATCAGATCTCGTTGGGGAAAATCCTGCTGTTTCTTTATACTGATATGACCTGGGTGATGTGTTAGGAACAACAGGATGCCACATCATTTTATGGAAATGAAAATGATCAACCTACAGAGGGCTGAATTCAAAGACACCCCAAAAATTACAGTGAAAAAATGATGCAGCAGGCTAGTCCATTTTGTCCATTTTCATTGCAGCAACTCAAAATGGTATTCAGTCATTTGTATGGCCCCCACGTGCGTGTATGCATGCCTGACAACGTCGGGGCATGCTTCTAATGAGACGACGGATGGCATCCTGGGGTATCTCCTCCCAGATCTGGACCAGGGCATCACTGATCTCCTGGACAGTCTGAGGTGCAGCCTGGTGGCGTGGGATGGATGGAAACATAATGTCCCAGAGGTGTTCTATTGGATTTAGGTCAGGTATCAATTCCTTCATCCTCCAGGAACTGCCTGCATACTCTCGCCACATGAGGCCGGGCATTGTGGTGCACCAGGAGGAACCCAGGACCCACTGCACCAGCATAGGGTCTGACAATGGGTGCAAGGATTTCATCCCGATACCTAATGGCAGTCAGGGTGGTGTTGTCTAGCCTGTATAGGTCTGTGCGTCCCTCCATGGATATGCCTCCCTGAATCATCACTGACCCACCACCAAACCGGTCATGCTGAACGATGTTACAGGCAGCATAACGTTCTCCACGGCTTCTCCAGACCCTTTCACGTCTGTCACATGTGCTCAGGGTGAACCTACTCTCATCTGTGAAAAGCACAGGACGCCAGTGGCCGACTTGCCAATTCCGGTGTTCTGTGGCAAATGCCAATCAAGCTCTACGGTGCCGGGCAGTGAGCACATTCAGGCCACCCTCGTGAAGTCTGTTTCTGATTGTTTGGTCAGAGACATTCACACCAGTGGCCTGCTGGAGGTAATTTTGTAGGGCTCTGGCAGTGCTCCTCCTGCTCCTCCTGCACAAAGGAGCAGATACCGGTCCAGCTCTCCTGGAGTAACTGCCTGTCTTGGAATCTCCTCCATGCTCTTGAGATTGTGCTGGGAGACACAGCAAACCTTCGGGCAATGGCACGTATTGATGTGCCATCCTCGAGGAGCTGGACTGCCTGTGCAACCTCTGCAGGGTCCAGGTAGCGCCTCATGCTAACAGTAGGGACAGTGACCCTAGCCAAATGCAAAACTGGTGAAAAAAAGTCAGAAAAGATGAGGAGGGGAAAAATGTCAGTGGCCTCCACCTGTAAAACCATTCCTGTTTGGATGGTTGTCTTGTTGTTGCCCCTCTAGTTCACCTGTTGTTAATTTCATTGACACCAAAGCAGCTAAAACTGATTAACAACCCCCTCTGCTACTTACCCGACTAAATCAATATCCCAGAAATTTAATTAACTTGATGCTATACTCTATAAAGTGTTCCTTTAATTTTTTTGAGTAGAGTATTTACCTGCCTTGTGCAATTAATCTGTCAGGTATGTTGGTGAAAATAATCAGCCTTTGTATGACTTTAATTGCTGTTCAATATGTCTTAAAGTGCTTTGCCACTATTTCTCCATAGCTAATTAAACAATGGTCAAAATGTCTATGTAATCACAAATAATCCTAACTGAAGACAGATGTTCAAAATTAAGAATAATACATACAGTAATGGTTTCAATTAATAAAGTAAAACAATGGTTACAGTTTGAATAGGAAGATTCACTTAAACCTTTTTTACTTACATGGCATTGGTTTCATTGGTATCTGTCATGGTTAACTGTTTAACTCCATAAAACTGTTTAATGTCTTTCAAACACAAAGAAGTTGCCACAATTACCAAAGGAATCCCTAAAAAACACAAAATAGAAATAAAGTTTTACATACTTTGTGTAGATGTGCAACATTTGTACAGTAGTAAAGCTCAACACGTACCAGTCTAATCGGTGCCTAATTAAAGACATTCTAGCCAAACATCTTAGATCAAAGGTTTTCCATCATCTATGCGGGCAAGACCCTCAGGTATCCTAAAATATTCTAAAGGAACATGCAAACTAGTTTTGCCAACCTCGTTCACTTTAGTTACCACTTATTTACTTAGTAATTTCTTTGTTTCCTTAGCTGGTATCAGAATTCCAAGAATTTGCCAGCCTACTTCTTAGTGTGACTGAGGTCAAGAAACAATCTTAAGAGAGACATGCTTCCAAGTAATTTTGATGAGGCCAAACAGATGGCAGAACAGGTAAGTGAATTCATTATTCTGTATTAGGGTTGTCACGATACTAAACTTTTCAACTCGATACCGATACTAAGGAAAATATTCGATACTCGATACCATTTTCGATACCACAAGGATAAAAACAAAGACTCCAAAATTCTACAGAAATATTTTCATAAATAAATAAAATACAATAAATAAACACAATAAACAATAAGAAAAATATTTTGAGGTTGTATGATGTGCACAATATTAAGCAAGCTTGGTAAAAAACTTAAAATTAAGTGTTCCTTCCTTGGCTATGCTTTGCACACATAACAATGACACTAGCCAAACGATGGTTCAATCACACAGTGTTCAGAAAGTGCATTGTCCTCTATTCTGCACTATAGATGAATGACTGCTTAGGTGCTACTGGTGGTGGTACTGTATCGATACTTTTAAAAACAAGTATTGTATCCGGATACGTTTCAGTATCGATACTTTTTTGAGTTTCGATACTTTTGACAACCCTATTCTGTATCACCCAACCATCTATGTTGTATAAAATCCAGGTTACTTCTTCCATCCTAATCAAACAGTTCTTTATCCAACCTGGACTCAACATGTACCATAATTACGAGACCAATTAAAAGGTAGTAAGCAGCACTCACCCCATCCAGCAAGAGACAGTTTGAGCAGGTACCGTTTGTAGTAAGTGTTGAACACCTTTATCAGCATTAGGTAGAGGTGCAGTCCCTCTATAGCCATCCAAGTGAAACAGGACAGCAGGGAGTAATGCATGACCGCAGCCAAGAACTCACACACCCACTCAAGCTTCACAGTGGCCCCCCATTCAGTCAAGAGGAAGGTGCAATTGAGGAGTAACAAGGCTCCACTCAGAGATACATTGATATACATAGTAACGTCCATTTTGTTGCTTCTAAAGAAGGAAAACAAGATCCAGTCAGTGCAAATGAACACTGCACCAGTGAAGAATAAGACTACTATTCTGTAATATGACAAAGCAGATATTACTCAACTCACCTTTTGGTATAAACTAATGTTTTGAAAATATTCACTCCTTAATGCCACAACATTAAAATGATCTAACGTGATCTAACTAATACAAAATAAGCCAAGAAATCAGTTATGGTAAAATTAAATCAGTTTTTGTAAATATAAATATCTATCTATCTATATGTATATAGATAGATAGATAGATAGATAGATAGATAGATAGATAGATAGATAGATAGATAGATAGATAGATAGATAGATAGATAGATAGATAGATAGATAGATAGATAGATAGATAGATAGATAGATAGATAGATAGATAGATGGTTAATGACTATTCTAGTTGCAAATGTCTGGTTTTTGGTGCAATATCTCCATAGGTGTATAGAGGCCCATTTCCAGCAACTATCACTCCAGTGTTCTAATGGTACAATGTGTTTGCTCATTGGCTCAGAAGGCTAATTGATGATTAGAAAAAACTTGTGCAATCATGTTCACACATCTGAAAAGAGTTTAGCTCGTTACAGAAGCTACAAAACTGACCTTCCTTTGAGCAGATTGAGTTTCTGGAGCATCACATTTGTGGGGTCAATTAAACGCTCCAAATGGCCAGAAAAAGAGAACTTTCATCTGAAACTCCACAGTCTATTCTTGTTCTTAGAAATGAAGGCTATTCCATGCGAGAAATTGCTAAGAAATTAAAGATTTCCTACAAGATTTTCCTACTCCGTTCATTGGACAGCACAAACAGGCTCTAACCAGAGTAGAAAAAGAAGTGGGAGGCTGCGTTGCACAACTGAGCAAGAAGATAAGTACATTAGAGTCTCTAGTTTGAGAAACAGACGCCTCACAGGTCCCTAACTGGCATCTTCATTAAATAGTACCAGCAGTAGCTTGTTTGTGCATAAAAAAAAGTTTTAGTCTGTCAGACAGACACACTGTCTACTTTTAAAGCTAGGCTTAAAACCTATTCTTTATCCTGAGCTATCTCTATAGTTCTGCTGCTATAGGCTTAGACTGCTGGAGGACATAGGGACCCCTTTTTCTTCATTCTGTTTCATTCTATCTCTATTCTCCCACTCTGCAGAATCTGTTAGTTCAATCTCTAACGTTCTGCTCTCTCTGCTTTTTCTCATAGTAGCTTCATCTGGTCTGTTCCTGTTTGGCTGTGACTCCATCCTGGAGAGAAATATCAGCTGTGCTGCTGCCATCAACACCTTTGTTTCTAGATGTTGGAGCTTGGCCTGTTTTCCAGTGTAGTCCTGTTTCTCTGACTGTGACTAACTGGATGTGCTCTCTTCATCCTCTGACATGGGAGCTGGCTCGGAGCTCGTCTGCCTGGCTGTGTGTTTCCTGGACGGGGCCGCCTGTGGAGCTGGTTGACAGTTGCCTTTTGTATCTATGCTTCTTTTTCTATGTCTGCTTCTGTCTCCTTGAACCCCAGTGGGCCTCAGCAGATGGCCGCTCACACTGAGCCTGGTTCTGCTGGAGGTTTCTTCCTGTTCGAAGGGAGTTTTTCCTCTCCACTGTCCCTACAAGCATGCTTAGTGTGAGGGATTGCTGAAGAGTCAATGAGTCGATGCAATCAGCTGGTTTTCCTTAGATAGAAAACTTTGAATCAATTTTGCTGGATGATCTGGTTGAACTGTAAAGTGCCTTCAGATGACATGTTGCGAGTTGGTGCTTTATACAGTAAATACACTGAATTGAATTGAATTATATATTTATACTGAGAATATTTATCATTATCATTTTCTAAAATTCTATGTTTATTCGCCCAGTCTATGTAATTTTCAGCAACTGCCTGGTTTTAACCCCCTTAAATTACTGCCACACTTAATGCAGTAAGGAGAACTGTCTTTTAATTTACAATAAAAAAACTTCATGACATGTTAAAAATATACATAGAATAGTGTTAGAACATTGTGATACCAAATTCCTTTTATGAGGTGGATACTTACCTGTTGAACACATATACTACAATAGATGAGGCACTGAAGAAAGCAGAAAGGCCACAGCCTATGTAACTGATGTAAGACAATATTTCCCAATGGACTTCACTTATTGGCAATCTTATCTGCAAAACAGAAGAGTGTAAATAGCAAATGAGTCAGATGTTAAGGCTATATGACATTTAAACACTTCTTAAAAGATTACTTAAACACACTTTTTCATTATTGTTATTCTATTAAAACAAATGTGAAATAACCATTGATTAAAAGCTACAGAGACGGGGATCTGGAGTCAACATGTCATTTCTATGTCATGTTTTTGTTCTATCCAACCACTGAATCAGTAGCCTCGTGAGACCATCCTGATCTCGCGAGCTTTCAACGTTTCACTCGCTAATCAGTCTAGAGACTCTCCGTTAAAGAAAATTTGGAGCCGTTCACCAAACGAACGTCCAATCAGCGTTGGCTTTGAGGCGGGTTGAGGTGTGACGCAACGAGAAGCGCGACAGTTCAGTCTAAAGAACATGGCGGCTTCAGCCGATGAAACTAGCGTTAGAGCAAAGAGCAAAACACTGCTCTGGAGGCTTTTCTCAGAGGAAAAGATGTTTTTGCTCTTCTCCCGACTGCTTTCGGCAAGAGTAGCCTGGCTGTTAGTACGTCATATGCTTCGTTGATCTGATTGGTTTATTTGGCCCGTCTATCACCAACATAGGCCAATCAGCTAACCAGTATTTTCGCCCCTTCCCAAAATTACTTCAACGGAAGGTTTCCAGATGGATATGCGGAGCAAATCCATCTGACGGAGTCAGGTTACTGAACCAGGTGAATCCAATCTACACAGGATAAACTAGATTAGAACAAAAACATGACATAGAGATGACATGTTGACTCCAGATCTCTGCTACAATAAATTTTTTTAAAGAGAACTTTGTCAAATTAGGAGTTACCAGTAGGACGGCGAAGGGTGTTGCATGGTTGCAGGCGCAGTTAACAATATCTTGCTTAGTGTGAGTTTCACATCCATCAGTTCTCCAGTAAAAATCTTAAAAGATAATTAATAACAGTTGTGTAAAAAAACAGTTTACTGATACTGATTCCTTATTTTGTAGATGTTTTTAATACTTAAATTATTCACAACATCAAACAAAAGTATATATTAGTCAAATCCAGTGTAAGGATGCACAAAATAAAGTTTTTCAAATAAAGGTTTTTATTGTCAGAGAGAAAAGAATAGTTCCTAGGGAAAAGACCCCCATTAATATAAAAATATCCGTTTACTTTCCCTAAACACCGGACTTTTCATTTGTCGCTTAAAAAAGGAACTATCCCATATTAAGAAACAAAATTAGGTGTTTAATTTAGTTCAGGTTTGATTGAAATGTTAACAAAATACATTCATATACTCAAGAAAAGGCTATTAAAATCCTAATGGTGGATAGGCCACAGCCAGGCCAGGCCGTTGCACGCCTGTTCCCAGTAAATAATCACTTAAATAGGACTTCCTATCACTACCGAATTCGTTCCAGAAGCACGATCCATACTATCGGCTCATTTGCGCACATGCAAGCAGATTTTCATCCAAAAATAATGTAATTATGGTACTAAAAGTATTTATTTTTTATCCTTAAATCAATAAAGAATGCTAAAACCTATCTTTTAAACCTTTCTATGTCTTTTGCGAGACAATTCAATGCTTTCTACATTTTCTCCGTTTAGACAGCTTCTATGACGTCATCATCGGATATGCTCAGAGTAGTCCGACAAAATATGATTACACAATATTTATCTTTTTTTTTGTTATTTATCTTTTTAGATTGTGCACTATATACCATAATACTAACGAAGAAAGGAAAAAATTAATTTAAAATCGAAAGCCAAAAAAGTTATCTCCCAGAAGTAGTGTACGATTCCATTTCCAGCACAGACAAGTGATAAAACAGAAAGTATTTAAATGAATTCATTTTTCAGGAAATTCATTACTAACCTTAAACACATTATAGTTTAGTACATTTACTGATTTAAGGGGGTAAAAATATAATTTAGTTTTTTTTACAAATTAAAATTAAGGGCAACCCTGATGTATATCTGGTTGCGGATGCGCCAATGAACTGATGGTACGGATCGTGCTTCCCGGGATAGATCGTATTTCCCGGCATGGATCGTGCTTCCCGGGACGGATCAAGCTTCCCGGCACGGATCGTTCTTCCCGGGACGGATCGTGCTTCCCGGCACGGATCGTACTTCCCGGGATGGATCGTGTTTCCCGGCATGGATCGTGCTTCCAGGCACGGATCGTGCTTCCCGGCACGGATCGTGCTTTCTGGGATGGATCGTGCTTTCTGGGATGGATCGTATTTGCCGGCATGGATCGCGCTTCCCGAGACGGATCATGCTTCCCGGCATGGATCGTGCTTCCCGGGACGGATCGTGCTTCCCACCACAGATCGTGCTTCCTGGGATGGATCATGTTTCCCGGCACGGATCGTGCTTACCGGGATGTATCGTGTTTTTCCGGCATGGATCGTGCTTCCCGGCACGGATCGTGCTTCCTGGGATGGATCGTGTTTTTCCAGCATGGATCGTGCTTCCCGGCACGGATCGTCCTTCTCGGGATGGATCGTGTTTCCGGCCACGGATCGTGCTTCCCGGGATGGATCGTGTTTCCCGGCACGGATCATGCTTCCCGGCATGGATCGTTCTTCCCGGGACGGATCGTGCTTCCCAGCACGGATCGTACTTCCCGGGATGGATCGTGTTTCCCGGCACGGATCGTGCTTCCCGGGACGGATGAGGCTTCCTGGCACGGATAGTGCTTCCCAGCACGGATCGTGCTTCCCGACACGGATCGTCCTCCTTGGGATGGATCGTGTTTCTGGCCACGGATCGTGCTTCCCTGGATGGATCGTGTTTCCCGGCATGGATCGTGCTTCCAGGCACGGATCGTGCTTCCCGGCACGGATCGTGCTTTCTGGGATGGATCGTGCTTTCTGGGATGGATCGTATTTGCCGGCATGGATCGCGCTTCCCGGGACGGATCATGCTTCCCGGCACGGATCGTGCTTCCCGGGACGGATCGTGCTTCCCAGCACAGATCATGCTTCCTGGGATGGATCGTGTTTCCCGGCATGGATCGTGCTTCCTGGGATGGATCGTGTTTTTCCGGCATGGATCGTGCTTCCCGGCACGGATCGTGCTTCCTGGGATGGATCGTGTTTCCTGGCACGGATCGTGCTTCCCGGGACGGATCGTGCTTCCCGGCACGGATCATCCTTCTCGGGATGGATCGTGTTTCCGGCCACGGATTGTGCTTCCCTGGATGGATCGTGTTTCCCGGCACGGATCGCGCTTCCCGGGGATGGATCGTGTTTCCCGGCATGGATCGTGCTTCCCGGGACGGATCGGGTAGTGACACCTCCCTCTGAAAAAATTTTCTGATGCAATACTTCAAAATGTGCATAAGAAAAAGCTGATGGAAACGTGTCTACTCACACTACCATCCTCTCTTAAAGAAAAAAGTTGACACCCTCTCTTTTGTGTTTCCTCTAATAATTTGTATTAAACTTGATTTTATTGTTTTTTTAGCCAGTATAATAATCCGCATTATTCTTCTAAACAACATCACTTTTAGATGAGCTAACACAAAACTGTGGATGATTACTTTTTGGTGTGGTAGTTGGAACACTTAATTTTACAAAAAAAAAGGAAAAATACCATCAATTTTATTATTACATTTTACATATAAACTGTGCAGATAGTTATTGACATTTATGTATTTTTTCTGGCGGTATCAGTGGGGGGGGGCTTGGAATTGCAGAACTTTATATCAATTCAGAAAGTTGTAAGAACTTGATGCTCTGATAGGGAGTTAAACAGAGCAGAGTTTCTTTTTATGCAACGTTCACAACGAACGTGTTTGGGCAGCAACAAAGTTTCTGCTGGATCCTTTTTGATGCTTGTCCACATTAAGGTCAGACGCGGGTCAAGAGCATCTTTGACGCTCCTGAAGCGCGTCCAGTAAAGTGTTTCCAGATGCGTCTGATGCTTCTGCTACTCCTGTGTTCAATGGCAGAGAGCGGCTTTGCTATATTTGCTGTGATCAGCGGATGAAAAATAGTTTTAATATATTTTAAAGTCCACCTCAGAACATGGTCTGTGTCGTCAGTTAATCAAGATTACCATCCTGCCTTAAAATATTATTTCTCTGTCGGAGCCGCTCAGATCCCAACATACCAGCGGTGCGCTGCCACTGGGAATCCCCAGCAACAGCTGGTGGCTTCCCCTACTTTTCGTGGCGGCTGGAAGTAGATGTTAGCATTTTTCATGTAAAGTGCATCGAGCTGCAGGCGCCAGAATAATAAAAGCGAACATATTTTTCCGGCAGATTTTGACATTTTAAGTCAATTTAGGCGTTAATAAACTGTTTCAGAGGAGTGATCATAGCGCTCTGCATCAGCAGTGCTGTGTCTGACTCCCTGCCAGCTCCCAGATCAGCTTCTCTGATTGGTTGATGTGGCGCTCCAGCAGCTAAAGGTCAATGTTTCCAACTCCAGAGGCTGCTGCATCTTTTGATGCATCTTGATGCACGTCAACCATTGTCTTTGCATGTGTGGTGGGATGGTGTTACACTCTCCCCACTCTGTGCATCAGGTGTAGCAAGAGGCAAGCCGTTGATTGGTGGGCGGGGCAGATGGCTTTATAGCTGAGCAGGCCTCTGCAAGTTGCATGTGTCTTTGTTTCCCCTACATGTCGGCTGCCTAAGTTTCTTGATCAGCTCCTCTGAAATCCATTGCTCTGCTGGTGTTAGCCGCTGCAGCTTCCATCTAGTCCTCCCCTGCTGGTCCTCTCTCTCCCTGGTTAGGCTGTGTTTCCACTCCTGGGGTTGTCTTGGAGCTGCAGCGCTTTGGATGCTCTGCTGTCTTGTTTGATGTGTTTTTTTGGGCGGCTCTCAATAAAATCGGTTGCTGTTGGACAGCAGTGTTGCCAACTCAGCGACTTTGTCACTGTAATTAGCGACTTTTCAGACCCCTCCAGCGACTCTTTTTCAAAAAAGCGACTAGCGACAAATCTGGCGACTTTTCTGGTGTCTGCTGTGGGGCGCCTCCCCCTTCCAAACCCCGTTCACCCGCTTCCACAGGAGTACCTCTCAGCGCTGGATTCAGAGCCACAGCATGTTTAATCTCAGCATCCTGACTGCAAATGAACCACGCGTATGCGCCGGGTTGACAGCGCAGGTTGATCACGCTTGAGTCAGCTCCCTCAGTCCCTGAACCTGCCATATATTTCTGTGAGCAGGCAAGCACAGCCTTATGGGAAATCTAGTTAGTTTAAAAAATAATAATAATTACAAATATTTGCTCACATTGTCATTAATTCTTTGCATTTTTTTTTGTTCCATTTAGATTTTTTTGTTGTTATTGTAATGTAAAAACAAATGTATGGTTGAAAATGTTCATGTTTTACCATGCTTTTTAAGCTCCTTTGTGGACCACAAGGGAAAAAAGACAAAGTAAGAAAAAAGCTGGGGAAAAAATATATGCAAATTAGGCGATGACGTCATTCAGCGACTTCTAGCGACTTGTAGCACAGCCAATAGCTACTTTCCTGACTGAGGAGTTGGCAACACTGATGGACAGGCGGAGCGAGCGGAGCATGAGTCCTCTGGCCCCATTCGAAGGCAGTGCTTGCTTTACTGTTTGTCTGCTTATTATTAAAGTTACTAATGTGTTTGCTTTTATTTTGATTTACTAATTTGTTTCCTTTTGCATTGCATGGTTTGTTTGTATATATTTATTTATTTTTAATAATTTAAATTGCCCTTTTTTTTCTATGATCCCTTTTCTTTCCAGGGACCGAGTAGTTTTTAAAAGAAATGTTTTAGTGAAATTATTTAATAAAATGTTGTGGACTATTCTGTGTTCTGGTGGATCTTGTTTTAAAGTTTTAAACATGTAAACCAGCTGCTTAACATAACATAACATAAAAAGAATCTAGAATATCTTTACAGGTTGTCAATAAAATTTAGTAAAGACTTACCACTTTCATCAAAGTAGTGACACTGTAACTCAGAATCGTTCTGTAATAAACACAAAAATGCAGAGATGAAACTTGACGCTGATATAATTCAAAGTAAATATTTGTTTTTGTTTTTTTCCAACATTATAATAAAATAAAAAGGTTACATTCATTGTTAAAAGCATTTTCAACCAATCTTACATTTTGAGGCGTCATAACCCTGAAAATTATTTCGATCGGTGTGGTGAGGTCCTTAAGCTGACGGTTCCCCCGTAGCTCGATCCTGAGAACCATTGATGAAATAGTTTCATTGTGCATCTAATATAGAGACAGTCAGAAGAGAAAGAAACAAAGAGAAGTTCAGCCAACAGTTACACTCCGCCTACACAATATCTATAATAGAAACTTAAAGAATGTAAATACCTCGAAATGGCTGTGATCCGTGTAACTGACCAAACCAAAGACCCTCTCTTCTTCTGAAATGTTCTTCAGGTGGTTTACTGGCATCCAAACCTCAGGAACAAACGATTTGTCGTAGGCCTGTATCTATTAATAAATATATATAAATAGATAAATCGGTCAAAACTCTTTAAAGTTTTTCTACCAGTTTTAGTCGGTGAGGCAGACACCCTGTCTACTTTTAAAGGAATAGTACACCCAAAACATGATTAGCCTTCATTTTCTACTCACCCCCATGCTGAACAACACTCTGGAGTACTTTTTTGATATCTCAAATGCATCGCGAGATCTGGGAGGCTTCTTGCTGTCTGCTGACATTCAAATAATGGAGGTCTATGGCGCCCGAGGCAGAAAGGTCCATAAAAGTCCACAAAAAACGTGTCAATATTCCTCCATACTGCTCGTCCAATGTATTCCAAGTGTCCTGAGTGGGTAGCGTCCAGAATTTACTCGAAACGAAGTCATTTAGAATGTTTTTAGAGCATAAACAGTAGTGTATAGGATTTCCTAAAAGCGCGTTCACGAGTCTACGGAAACCGCGGCAGACCAAACCAGATGAAAGTGCGCATTCAGCGTCTGCTCTGCCAATAATGCAAGCGTAGAAGAAGAAATGTGCTGTTTACCTGTGCAAAGAAAGAAACAACATAAGAAAAATCTCTGAGGACTTCAGTGTTGAGGAAGAGCATGAGTTCTTTGCCGAGCTGAATGCGCACTTTCATTTGGTTTGGTCTGCCGCGGTTTCCGTAGACTCGTGAACGCGCTTTTAGGAAATCCTATACACTGCTGTTTATGCTCTAAAAACATTCTAAATGACTTCGTTTCGAGTAAATTATGGACGCTACCCACTCAGGACACTTGGAATACATTGGACGAGCAGTATGGAGGAATATTGACACGTTTTTGTGGACTTTTATGGACCTTTCTGCCTCGGGCGCCATAGACCTCCATTATTTGAATGTCAGCAGACAGCAAGAAGCCTCCCAGATCTCCAGATGCATTTGAGATATCAAAAAAGTACTCCAGAGTGTTGTTCAGCATGGGGGTGAGTAGAAAATGAAGGCTAATCATGTTTTGGGTGTACTATTCCTTTAAGGCTAGGCCTAAAACTTTCCTTTTTGATAAAGCTTCTAGTTAGAGTGGCTCAGGTTATCCTGATCTATCTCTATAGTTCTGCTGCTATAGGCTTAGACTGCTGGAGGACATAGGGACCCCTTTTTCCTCATTCTGCTTCATTCTATCTCTATTCTCCCACTCTGCAGAATCTGTTAGTTCAATCTCTAACGTTCTGCTCTCTCTGCTTTTTCTCATAGTAGCTTCATCTGGTCTGTTCCTGTTTGGCTGTGACTCCATCCTGGAGAGAAATATCAGCTGTGCTGCTGCCATCAACACCTTTGTTTACAGATGTTGGAGCTTGGCCTGTTTTCCAGTGTAGTCCTGTTTCTCTGACTCTGACTAACTGGATGTGCTCTCTTCATCCTCTGACATGGGAGCTGGCTCGGAGCTCGTCTGCCTGGCTGTGTGTTTCCTGGACGGGGCCGCCTGTGGAGCTGGTTGACAGTTGCCCTTTGTATCTATGCTTCTTTTTCTATGTCTGCTTCTGTCTCCTTGAACCCCAGTGGGCCTCAGCAGATGGCCGCTCACACTGAGCCTGGTTCTGCTGGAGGTTTCTTCCTGTTCAAAGGGAGTTTTTCCTCTCCACTGTCGCTACAAGCATGCTTAGTGTGAGGGATTGCTGAAGAGTCAACGAGTCGATGCAATCAGCTGGTTTTCCTTAGATAGAAAACTTTGTATCAATTTGACTGGATGATCTGGTGAACTGTAAAGTGCCTTGAGATGACATGTGTTGTGAATTTGGCGCTATAGAAATAAACTGAATTGAATTGAATTGAATTAAAGGACTGCTGTGTAACTTTAGACCTGAATCCGATAGACGTTCGCTTTGGAGATGCAAACTGAGAAGTCATAGGATTGTTTGAAAGTACGAGGCCCCACTAACCATTCTAGATTAAATCTTAAATCAGAAAACCAAAAAATATATCAGGTAAATATTTTTCCAAACAGCAAGATTTTACTAGGATAGTTCTTGTGTTCAAGAGGAACTCAGACTATCATAAAGCGGCGCTCTGGGTCATTTGTGAAGGAACAGTGAAGGAACCAACAAATGCGACCTTGTTGTTACCCATAGTGAGGAAAACCTCTCTCACGCTCAGATTATCGAGGGCTGATCCTTGCAAGGCCCTCAAACCTTAGTGAAGATGACCTTAGTTTTAAAATCTAATAGAAATTGTGTTAATTATGAAGCAAAAACATTTCATTTATGCCGCTACCATTTTGCTAAAATAGAAAACTTAATAATCAAAGGTCAACCAGCTCCTTTTATCTTATCGAAATCAAATAAGATTACAGTCAGTTTGTGTATTTTTTGCTAATTTTTGTGATGCAAAGAGACAGTTTGCAGAAAACTAAATATCTGTACTCTAGAACTGAATTATAAAGTCACTATTATGCTTCATTTTTGATCAAATATGAAGCAGAAGTTTCTCACTCTGAGTTTATTGTGTTTAGTTCAGATTCAGATGGTGGGAACTGCAGTGGCGAATAAATAACACAGAGGTTTCGGTACTATTTCTGTATTAGAGCTGAGGTACTGGGTGACAGGGTGATTCCGGTTTGTGATGGAAGTCATACACTGCAAAAACAATCTCAAAATGAGTAACAATGTCTTAAATTAAGGGTATTTACTAGGAATGCACGATATAATCGGCCCCCTATCGGTATCGGCCTTAAAACTGAATATCGGACATCAGCCACCCCACCGATATTTAACCCGATATTTGATCAGCTTCTGAGTTTCTAAAGTCTAAAAAAAATAAATAAATAAATACTACTACTTCTTCCTCAAAAACGTCTTTTTTACAGACTTAAAACCTTCTAAAGACGAGGGAAAAAATATTGATACATTAAAATATCCCAATATCTTCCTATGCTGATATATTGCCATTTAAAAACACCATATCAATCTCTTTTACTAATGAAATATTGCTATATGTCATCGTTATGCTACGAAATCCCCCGAAAATTCACCAAATGTTTTCATATTTTTATATGTTGATATATTGACGCGGTATCGATCTATTTTACTAACAAAATCTCACAAGAATTTGCAAAATATCACGAGAGTTTGTAACAGAACGATGAAATTTCACGAGATTTTGAAAGTAAAATAGATCGATACCGCGTTTTTAAAAATCTATTTGATATCAGCATATGAAAATATATTTCAGTATATTATTTTTCAAAGTGTCAGGAATGGATAACAAAACTGCTATTTTCAATGACTACTTATTTTTGTCCAGCTTCAACATCGGTATCGATATCGGTTATCGGCTACATGAGTTTTAAAATATCGGCATATCGGCTAAAATCCCTAGTATTTACCCTTAATTCGAGCTGGTAAATAAGATGAGTTGCCAATAGAATAAAGTATTTTTACTCTTAAAATAAGTTATCTAGATATTATGCACTTGAAATAAAAAAATGAAATTGTTTTTTCTTATTTTAAGTGTAAATTGTCTTGTTCCATTGGCAAAGTGTCTCACTTAAATACTTAATTCAAGAAAAAATGCACTTATTTTAAGAAGAAATTATTTATTTAGATTAAATTTTTTGCAGTGTACCCATAATGCCTGCAAGGCCTCATAATGAAAGAATGAAATAAGGTGGGTCTATATAATTGTATATTATCATGTCTTCTATGCTACAGCTGTATTTTTTTTTCATTTAAGTCTAAAAGGATCACGCCAACTAATGTAGGAAATGTTAAATGATTAATCCTGATCTAATGTTTTTGCACAACAAAAACCTGATATTTTAACAGTGGTGTGCAAACTTTGAGAGACACAATAATGTAATCTTTTAAATACTTCAAATACTTTATAAATGGTATACCTGTGGAGCTTCCATCAGGATTCTGGCTTCTGATTCGTTGAGAGTAGAATTGCTGATTTTGGAAACGTTCACAGACAAGGAGTTCAGGTTGTCGACCCGGGAGTCATTACCCTCAGGCAGCGGTAAATCCATAACTCTGAGGATTATTTTTTTCTCGATTCTACAGAAAAAAAACATGAATCAATGGTTAAATATGCATTGTGTTACAAGAACATATACTCTAGTATAATTTATTGGGTTCTGTGTGATAAATGTGACACAAAGTAGTGCAAGGGGAGAAGAGTGTGTAAAAATTGTGAATACTGAAGAAACAAGGTTACTTTCAAACTGTTTAAAGGCATAGCGCAGACTTTATGACCTTAAGAGTTGATGCATATGAGTTATTTTCCATGATTCCTCAGGCCAATATACGACGCCTGACACTATCAATGCTACGAGCACGGATCCGCCCTTGAAATACCGACTTTGTAAGTTGGGAAAGATGCACCATTTATTTATTTATTTATTGTTTATTTGAAAGGGGACAGTGTACATTAATCAACATCAAAACAATGTAAATATACCCGAGTTAGCTAAGGAGTGCTAATTTTCATCGGTAGTCCCCCAGCCAGGTATTAAAAAGGCAACCTTAAAAATAAACACAGGTATAAAATCACAAGATAAAATTACAATACCAATTACATAAAAAACATTATGGTTAAGAAATACAATTCATGTAAAATAATTATAAATTATTTAAATACACACAGAAAACCTTAGTGCCCACCAATTTGGCTCTCTATAAGCCATTTTTTGCGTCCTTTTTGAGTGAAGAGAATGACAAAGAGTCTCTGATGGTTTCTGGCGCTGTGTTCCATTGCTGAGATGCTCTTACGGAGAAGACAGCCCGACCAAAGGCTGTTTTTCTCCGGGGGATGATGCAGTCTTCCCTCACTGCCCCTCTCTGACCTCACTGGATCTGAACTGTACAAAGTCACATAGTGGAGCTGGTGCTAAACCATGTCTGATTTTATAAATTAAACAGATGTTTTTGAACTTGATAAGATTGTTCCAGGTAAGTAACTGATATTTCCTCAGAATACTACAGTGGTGGTAATGGTATGGATTTTTTATCCAGTATTTTTAATGCTTGTTTATATAATGTTTCTAATGGTTTTATTGTAGTAGAGTGAGTATTGGACCAACTTATTAGACAATATGTTATTTGGGATAAAATCATGGGAAAAAAATGATTTAGCAGCTTCAGTTGAAAGAAAATCTCTAATGAATCTGAAGTTTGCTAAACTAAATTTAATCCTATTACAAACTTTTTGGATATGAGCCATTGTTGGCCAGGTCATGTGACCTTGGAGAACGTATCGCGTTACGGCCACAGGCTCTTCTGCTACGTTCAGACTACAAACAGCAAGAGCAGCTAAAACGCGCATGCTGCTTCATTTTTGATGCTTCTACAAGTTTAGTTCACGGCAGAAGCATCTTTACGTCAGTTGGTCTGATGCGCGTTGGACGGAGCTACCCTATAATTTGTTTGCCTGTTTTAATAACAGCTATATTTGCTGTGATCAGTGGGTAAAAAATTGTTTTAATATGTTATTAAGTGAGAAAGTCCTCCTGAAAACTTCGTCAGTGCAGTCAGTTCATCTAGATTACCATCCTGCCTTCAAATGTTATTTCTCTGTCGTAGCCGCTGAGACCACCATACACCGGCGGAGCGCTGTCACTGGGAATCCCATTCAACAGCAGCCTCTGGCCCGGTCCCTCTTTGCGGTTTGCCGCGGTGGCTGGAAGCCATTTTTCATGTACGTAATCCAAACTGCAGGCACCAGAATAAAGCGAACATATTTTACGGGCAGGTTTCGGCATTTGAAGTTAATTTAGGCGTTAATAAACAGTTTCAGAGGAGCGATCATAGCGCTCTGCATCAGCACTGCTGTGTCTGACTCCCTGCCAGCTCCCAGATTAGCTTCTCCAATTGGTTTTGATAGGCGTCAACCATTGACTCTGCATGCAAACTACCTGCTTCTGATGCCTCTGCTACTTTAAGTGCGAACGTAGCATTAGAGAGTCATGGAGCTAAGGCTTTTACTCTACTATTTTTCCGGCTGCTCTACTACTAGTCATTGCTGAGGCATGGATAAAGTTTAAACCTTCAGAAGACGCTAAAAAGAGAAAACGTGAAAGGGATCGTGCACCACGAAAAACAAGAGTCTATCATGAAGAGGAGTTAGATTTCTGGTGCAGGATGGAAGAAAATCGATTCTCTTTTCTGAACGTTACTATTAGACTGGTAAGTTAATACACTGAAATTTTTTTTTGACATTTACTTAATCATATTTAGTTATTTAAACACAATTGTTTCATGTTAGCAGGGTAGGATATAAAACAATTGTGTTAAAGTAACAAAACGTGATTAACTAAAGGCCAAAAGCAGTTGCACAATTTTTTTAAGTGTACATTGCTCCTAGTATACAGTCATATATCTTTGAAGTTACTTTTTTTTGTTTAATTAAAGCAAAATACAGGCAGAGAAAGCTAGCGGGCTACAAACAAAAGCTACTGGGGGTGCTAGACGTGAAAGTTAGAGGTTTAGCACCCCTAGTGGCCAAAAGTTACAGAGTGTGCCTTTAAAGTCGTAGGGAAGCGACTGTTCCAACCATTGCATTTCCGAATTCTCCCGAGTGCTGCCCGACTTTACACCAGTGAATAAAGGGAATGTGATTGGTCGGTTATCAAGGGGGCGGGATTGTTGTGGCGGAAAGTTTGCAAGCTTTTTGGTTGTGGCAGGTTTGTCGGAAGCAGCTTGCTAACCAGTTAGCAACTTAGTGCTAGCAGGTTCCCAATGGGAAATTCCATTGGGACCAAGTAGCACTAAATTGGTGACTTAGAAACGACGCTGTCAAGGAACGCTATGGACAGCGGAAACATGCAAGAGGAGGAGAGTTTAGTGTCGGAGGTCGTGGATGAGTCTCCTCCGTCATCCATTTTTTATTTAGAGGAGGAAAGCGGGGACGAAGATGTTGTGGAAGAGGACGCCAGGGCGGCAGAAGCTTGGTTTGGTGTAGAAGGCTTCCAGCCGTACATGTTTGAGCCCTTGCCTCGCAACGCTGCCAGTTCTGTTAGCTCTACGCCTGCTGAAGACACAGACGTCCATCCCCGTGAACACTGGGACGCAACTCAATGGGAAAGGAACCGATTCTGATTTCTGATTTCAACCGTTCAGTGTTGCCAACTCCTCAGTAAGGAAAGTAGCTATTGGCTGTGCTATAAGCCGCTAGAAGTCGCTGAATGATGTTATTGCCTAATTTGCATAATCTGCCACATGATGTGATGTTCATGTTATTGACGCTGTTGGAGAAATAACGTTGTTAGAGAGAGACAAATTGAGTTAAAATACTTTATTTTATTTATTTTTTACATTTTTTTTTTATTAATGTTTATTTTATTACAGTACTAAATGAACCATAAAGAGACACTATGGCAGAGTTACAATTTCTATTTCTTTCAACTATTTTTTTACTTTTTCTTTTTTCCCTTGTGTTCCACTAATGAGCCTAGAAATCATTATCTTAGAGTGGAAAACACAATGGATAAGGTGATTAAATGACTGTGGCTTTGTGAATCAAATGTCGTTATTTATTTAAGATAAAACATTTCAAATTCAGATTACATCCGCATCGCCTCGGCGCTGAATGTAAGCAGGGCGGGGCGGCACCGCGTGATCAACCTTCACCATCAAGCTTTCATGTAAGAGTCTCCAAAAGCTGCCAGTGACACCAGAAATGTCGCTAGATTTGTCGCTAGTCGCTTTTTAAAAAAAAGAGTCGCTGGAGGGGTCTGAGAAATGGCTACATATAGCGACAAAGTCACTACAACTGTTGCGTATATTAGCTGCGACATATGTATCAAGATGCTATGACCGAAAAAATTTGATTGACAGATGACCGTTGATATATAATTGGATGAATTTAGGTGTTCAGGCTGACGGAGAACTAACTGGCCTGCAGAAGATAACGGAAAAAACACATATTTTAAGACAGGATTTTTCTAAAATAGAAAGTTTCTAGATTTTGAGACAATATGGTCTGATAAAAAGTACATTTATACACATGTTTAATTAATTAATTATTTGACATTCAAATATTATTTCCCTTCGACTTTAAGTAGAAAAGTTCTAAAGGAAACTGTAGGTAAAAGTAGGGATGCAGGATATAATCGGGCCCCTATCGGTATCGGCCTTAAAACTGAATATCGGACATCGGCCACCCCACCGATATTTAACCCGATATTTGATCAGCTTCTGAGTTCCTAAAGTCTAAAAAAAAAAAAAAACTACTTCTTCTTCTTCCTCAAAAACCTCTTTTTTACAGACTTAAAAACTTCTAAAGACGAGGGAAAAAATATTGATCCATTAAAATATCCCAATATCTTCATATGCTGATATATTGCCATGTAAAAACACCATATCAATCTCTTTTACTAATGAAATATTGCTATATGTCATCGTTATGCTACGAAATCCCCCGAAAAATCACCAAATGTTGCCATATTTTTATATGTTGATATATTGACACGGTATCGATCTATTTTACTAACAAAATCTCACAAGAATTTGCAAAATATCACGAGAGTTTGTAACAGAACGATGAAATTTCACGAGATTTTGAAAGTAAAATAGATCGATACCGCGTTTTTAAAAATCTATTTGATATCAGCATATGAAAATATATTTGAGTATATTATTTTTCAAAGTGTCAGAAATGGATAACAAAACTGCTATTTTCAATGACTACTTATTTTTGTCCAGCTTTAACATCGGTATCGGTTATCGGCTACATGAGTTTTAAAATATCGGCATATCGGCTAGTTAAAAGCCTTCAGCTGATCCAAAATGCTGCAGCCAGAGTTCTGATGAAAATGAAAAAGAGAGATCATATCTCTCCTATCCTGGCTTCTCTTCATTGGCTTCCTGTTAAATCCAGAATAGAATTTAAAATCCTCTTCCTCATATCAGAGATATTATTGTCTCTTATGTTTCTAACAGAGCACCTCACTCTCAATCTAGAAATCTGGTTCCTAGAATTTCTAAAAGTAGACAAAATGTCATAAAGTGGTAAAACATGTTCAAAGGCTCATTTGCACTTACCTTATAAATGCCTTTTTAAGTTCCCGGCTGGTTCTGAAGAGATCTTGACATGCTTCCTTTATGGTTATGAGTATCTTGTTTTCCTCCCTGGAATTGTTAATATATTTCAGTTTGCTCAAATCAGACAGGATAGCAGCTTTCTTGCAAGGTCCGTGGAGAAGGTAACAAATCGTATCTGAGAAGTACAACAGGAAATACGGATCAAACAGGTAACAGCCTCGTTTAAAAAGATATACATATATATATATTGCTAGGGTTCTTTATAAGGAGATTACTCTTTTCTTTAACCCTATAATGCCAAATGTATCATATTTGATACATACGGTTTCTGAAATGTTTCTGACACCTTTTGCATAATTTAATGGTAAAAACTTTGCTCAAAGTCCTATTGTACACAATTAGATATACCTGATAACAGAGAGCAGAAGACTTCACAAAAAATAATCTTGACTTATCGCATAGTAATAAATTATTAATATCAAAAATGTATTTCTGTATTTTCTTTTTCCATATTTTGTTAAAAGGCCAAATTAGGACTTCAAACCGGCAGATGGCCGCTCACACTGAGCCTGGTTCTGCTGGAGGTTTCTTCCTGTTCAAAGGGAGTTTTTCCTCTCCACTGTCGCTACAAGCATGCTTAGTGTGAGGGATTGTATTTGAGTCAATGAGTCGATGCAATCAACTGGTTTTCCTTAGATAGAAAACTTTGAATCAATTTGACTGGATGATCTGGTTGAACTGTAAAGTGCCTTGAGATGACATGTGTTGTGAATTTGGCGCTATAGAAATATACTGAATTGAATTGAATTGAAACCAAAAAAAAAGTAATTTTCTCTTTTGTTTTATTCTTGGATAGGGCTTTAAAGGGTTAACACTGTTAGTCACAATGAGCAAAAGAAACATGAAAAGGAAGTTAAACTAAGCAGAATTAATCAATTATTAACAAAGACGAATGCAAATTAGTGTGCAGGTGCAAACAGAGTGCTTCCATGTGTGCTGTCCAAACACGTCCATTACCAGAAGATTTCACTGATTTTAAAATGACACACGAGACTCGTCATTCTGTCCTGTTTAGTCATTTTCAGCATCTTTACTTAGTTTACTCACAATTTTCTAAGGTATAAATGACATATTCAGATTCCGCCGTAGAGTTTATACAACCATACGATCCGTTGAACCATGTCTCATTGCTGGGGGTGCATTTAAATTCAGAGTAGTCGTAATGTTTCATGGGTTGAACATCACCGTTCCTCCTTTCAGTTATGGTTACATTGGGTGTAGTAACGCCAAGTTCATAGTGCGCGATGTTGATACAAACTGAGGACAGAAGGTACAACAGACCCCACAGTTACACAAAACACTGCAAATGAGGATTTTCTACCAAGAGAAGACGATTTCAAAAATGACTTTGCTGTTGGAATGAATATATGGCTTTGGGGGAAAAAAGATAAATTCTTATGCTGGTACCTTGATGAGCCCAGGACTGATGGAGCAGCAGTAAAACAAAAACTGGAATCATAGTTTCTGCTGTAAACATACACAACAATAAAAGAACACAAACAATTGTATTACTAGTTATTTACTGCAACTTAACAACTTAGAGAAAAAAGAAAATATGTATATGATTAATTACACAAATACATAATACATTTTTTTTTTTTTTACAGTGTCATGTCTGGCAATGTGGCAATAAGAATAATTGTCTTAAAAAAAAATAAAAAAAAAATAAAAAAATGAATGTAATCTAACAAAAACTTCCAACTGTTTTTAATATTCTTTTTTTGTTTCTGCATTTTTTATTTTATTTTTTTTCCTACTTGCTTTGATTCTGTTTTATCTTCCTGTATTTTAATCATGTAAAGCACTTTGCATCGTCTTTGTACTGAATTGTGCTATACAAATAAAATTGCCTTGCCTTGCCTTGCCTTGTCTTGATGCCAAAAAGAGCCCAACAGATTTTACTTTCACAAGTGGAGCAGTACGGCTATCGCCATATTGCTCCACTTGTTTCATGCATATAAATTGCTTTATTATAATTATGCAGGGAGGTTTACAGTTTATATGGACACTGCAATGTAAATAGAGCAGAAAAACAGAAGAAGAAAAGGAAAAAAGAAAAAAAAAGAGAAAAGATTAAAGAAAGAAGAGATAGAAAGGAGATAATATATTATTCAGGATAAACTGTAATTTTGAATAACCATGGTAGCTTTAATTTAATCAAAAAGGTAATAACGTTTGTCTAAGCTTGGATTTTTTTAAGGCAGTTTGGTTAGTATGCAAATCTATAACACAACTAAATAAATAAAAAAAACATGTTTTTACTCTCATTTAACTTTTTTTCTTATCTGTAAAAGGGATAAATGTAATAAACGACAGAATATTTATATATAAAACTTAAGACGTACATAGAAAAAGTGGTCTGTATAACTGTTGTTTTTTTTTTTTCAAAAAAATTCATAAGCCTTTTATTTATTAAATAAAAAAAAATGATCTGCTGACTATGGAGGATAAAAAGTGCCACAATTAAATAAATAAATAAATACAGCATTAAATAAATAATTAAATGTGTCAATAATTAATTAAATGTGGAATTCAATAAATAAATGTGTCATTCATTAATTAAAACCACGTCACTAATATAAAGTGCCACCCTTAAATACATAAATACAGCGATAAACAATTAATTAAATGTGTCGCAGTGCATGGAAACCATTAAAAGAATCTGTCAAACTCACCCATCAAAGTTAGGGGGCGGGGCTAACGCCAATCGAGTCTCTGTAATCAATTTGCTTGGCCTTAATGTGCAGGGTGACCAATCAGGTGTTAGATAACCGCCCCCTAACTTTGATGGGTGAGTTTGACAGATTCTTTTAATAATTTCGATGCACTGCGACACAGGACCATGAAATAATTAAATGCACGCTGAAATAATTATATAGATTTTTTTAATAAAATGAAGACATATTTTATTAAATTAATGACACATTTATATATTCAATTCCTTATTTATTTAATTAATTGTTTATCGCTGTATTTATTTATCTAATTGTGGCACTTTATATTAGTGATATGGTTTTAATTAATGAATGACACATTTATTTATTTAATTCCACATTTAATTAATTATTGACACATTTAATTATTTATTTAATGCTGTATTTAATTATTTTATTTTGGCACTTTTTATCCTCCATAATTGACAGCTTCTTTCTTTTGCGGTAGAAGCATCCTCAGGTTCCCGGACATCATTTAAAAAATGGTTATTTTCTGCCCCAACATTTTCTCACTAGAGTTTAGGTTATGTGAGGAACATAAGTTCACATAAGTAATATTAGCTGACTTATTGCTAAAATAGGTTGTTTATCCAGTTCTAAAATATTTTATTAACCATGAATGAAAAGTAAATGCTGTAACTGTGGGTTTTTGTCTAACAAGTTGCTGAACTTTTTTAAATATTCGGTTCAAACTAGTAAAGCTTCTCCAAACACAGTGAGCGGTGCAATTCTAGAAGATATACCCCCTATATATTTAGATAAATTGGAAATTATTCAAACACGCACACCTCTCATTAAGCAAATTACCTAGAGATAAAAGATTAAAGCTACAGCGTATAATTTCCAGTAATATCAAATGGGCAGAACAGCCCCACCCACAGCAGAATGCATTTTTATTCACCTGGCAAAGAAAAATTCAATATCAGTTTTAACAATCCTAAAATACTCAAACCCAGCCATGGATTTTAATAGTAGAGGAAATCTTCACAATGGAGGAAATGACCTACCAACAAATACCTGAAAGAACAGTGGAGGAAATGGTTTGATCACACAAATCGGAAAGGACTGACCCTAAATAAGACTGGAACGACAGATAAACCTTTTTTAAGACTGGTGTGCCCCCCCACATTCACTTAACTCAGACTCTGTTATACATTTGCTGTATTTTTATCACCCTTCTCTGTTCATATTCTTTTTTTGTTTGTTTGTTTTAATGTAAAATTGAAAAAATACTAAATAAAAAGTTAAATAAAGAAATAAATAATCAACCCAGCCATACAAATGAAGCATAACAGACAAAAATTCCAAGGCATTTCAGTATTTCTTTTAAGCATATTTAAAAAGTAGCTTGATCTAATAAAAAAGCAAATTAGGACCAAATATGAAGTTTTTCTGTGTTGAAAACAGCAATAATATTTATTCTCATCTTATTAACTGCGGATCAGATTATAATCTTTGATCAGCATAAAGTTATTTCACTACAGAGACTCAACAGGACAAGATGGAGCCTAAAGAGGAAACTGAGGAAAGCTCGTTTCACGCTGGGTAATTATAAGGGCGAGTATAGGAATGAAAGATAACAACACTAAGCTTTTAACCCGGCAATGCACCTTTAACACTGCAAAAACGATCAGGAAATAAGTCAAAATGTCTTAAACAAAGGGCATTTACGCTTAATTTGAGCAGAAAAATAAGATGATTTGCCAATGGGATGAGGATTTTTTCTCTCAGAATAAGGAAATTAGATGATATACACTTGAAATAAGACAATGAAACAGGGTTTTTCTTATTTTAAATGTAAATTATTTTGTTCCAATGGCAAATAGTTTCACTTACCTCCTCAATTCAACAAAAATCGCACTTGTTTTAGGAAAAAATGACTTATCTAGATTTGGATTTTTTCCAGTGAAGAAAAAGACAAAAACTGATGTTTCTAGTAAAGGACAAAGACAAAAGCTCGGGAATTTAAATCTATGACCAGATCAGTTTGTTTGCCAGACCAGAAGACATATTAAACGGGAACAAAATTCAACATACCAGCAAAATAAATATCAGGTTTGACTTGCTAGGATAGCAAAATGTTTAAATCTGTCATAAAAAAAACATTCTGGACCACAGAACCGGACAAGGAAACGAATCGCACCATAACTCTAGTTCTACCACAGAGTGTCTAAGAATGAAGAAATGGAGACTCCATTTTTGATTTGATCAAACCTCCGCTGACTTGAATCAATCAGAGGATGCAAGAAATCTAACCTCAGCATGAAAGTGAGAGGTTAGGCAAAGCATCCTTACCATGAACTGCTAGATGCCTAAAAGAAGCGTCTCAGTTAAGATTCTTAAAGCTGCCTCACAGACTTGGCAACATTTTGACATTGGATGCCCTTCCTGAAGAAACAAAGATTCAAACCCACATTCCCTAAATTAATATAAATTTTACCCATATGCTTCTCCTCCGTAGAACTAAAGTGAACATTTAGGAATGGCTCAGCCAGATTTCCAAGCTAAATAGGATCCTGGGGGTACAGATATAAATACAAACAACGCCAGAGGAAAGATAGGATGTCTGGTGAACAATTATAAGAACTGGTTGAGTTTTGACATCAAAATGGCATCAGGAGTTTATGTCTAAGATGAAATAGTTTAGTCTCAAACGTCTTTAACATGTTATAAACAGAAGCTAAACAGAGAGAGCAAACACTTACCTCAACCTGCAGGAAGAGGTTTTCCTTTAAATTGACTGGATGAACCAAGAACCGATGGTGAAGTATGAGCCTTATCAGGATGTTTTAAGTAAAACAAAGATGTCGCTGTGCTTTGTGCAGCAAAGGCATGTATATTTTATGCAAATATTATTTATTAAGTCAACAAAACTCTGTAAATGTTTAACATTTTACCACAGCCCACAACAGAGTGTCTCTCTTCATCTTCCCTCTAAATGCACTGCTAGTGTTGAACTAAGTAAAAATATCCCAGTATTACAGTTTCTTCTCTAAAATAGTTTCTTTATGACATAAAGCGTCATCTATAAACTTTATGAAAACAGAGAATCAACAGCTATTCAAAAAGAATCAGGCCTTATTTTTATAAGTTCCCCCTCAAAGGCTGAGCTAATCTTAGTCTGGAAGTGACGGGATTATTTATTAGGTTTTATGTTTTTAGTTAGTTTCAGCTTACCATGAATGGAAGACAAAAATAAAGAAATGCTTTATCAAACAAATTATTATATCATTAAATGATAACATTTACCATTTGTTTATTTAATACAGTATTAAATGATTAAGTTTTCCATTATGTTCTAAAATGCTAGACAATTAGATGATTAAATATAAAATTAATTTAAGGTATTAAATTGAATCAATAAATAAAATAGAATAGAAAAACAGAAAATCCCTTTATTTTCCCACAATAGGGAAATTGTGGTGTTTACAGCTACAAAGGTTATAGTAGCAGTGGTCACACAATGTGCGCCTTAGAAAAGTGTATAAAAATAACAAACAGGAAAATAATACAAATAGAATATTGTAGTGTGCAGCGTTTCTACAATATAATACTTTGTGTCTGGAGAATAAAAAAATCTATAAATGCTCTGGACGTTTTGTCATGGATATGTGAAAAATAGCTGCAACACCAGAGATGTGAAGGGAAAAAAATGACAGCAGCAGGTTATTGAACTGACTAAGGTAGAAACTGTGCAAAAATCAGCATGAATGGAAGAACTGGTTGAGGTTCTTGGGAACAGTGGTGGT